CATGGGCAAGACACGGTGTGTGGGGTGTCATGCTGGAGGGTGCACAGCACAGAGGGGAAGGGCTGTGGGATGGGGGGGGGAGTCACCCTGCCCTGCCAGTCCTGGTGATGGGCAACCTCCGCAGGCTCAGCCGGGAGCTCCAGGAGAAGGAGAAGGTGATTGAGAGCCTGGAAGCGAAGCTGCAGGAACGGTGCGAGTCCCCGGGCAGCAGCCGCCCGCCCTCCGAGTCCTCCTGCTCTGCCACCAGCTCCTCCTTCGTGTCCGAGGGGCTGGAGCCCTGCTCCGATGGGGACGCAGCCAGCGAGTGCAGCCAGTGCCGTGAGGAGCCCACCCAACCCGCAGGTACTGCGGGGTTCCCCGGGGGCCGCAACCACGGGCTGGGGACACGCAGCCCCCCTGTCGCGTGTGGGTCCCTGCGGCAGTAGGTGCCCATCAGGCGTGGGCAGGGGCTGCCCGTGTGGCACTGTGCACTGGCGGGGGGGTAAGCACACAGCTCCTGGGGCTGCAGGTGAGGGTCCCAGCCCACAGCACCTCCGGACACGGGGACGGGGCTGCTCGGGGTGTGCCGGGGTCCCCAGTGCCCCCAGGGAGGGGGGGTCCTGTCCCTGCCAGGCTGAGCCAGAGCTGTGCTAACATCTCCGTCTCTCTCCTGTATCTAGGCCTTCACTATGACTCCTTATCCAAACCCATTAGTGCCCCCCTGCCTGCGCTGGCCCCCGGGGCTCCCCCCTTCCTGCCTGCTGGCCCCTCCCATCCCGCAGCCCCCCCACTCCTGGGCTGCTGCGGGACCCCCGTCTGCTCCCTGGCCGAGGCGCAGCAGGAGCTGCAGGTGCTCCGGAGGCAGCTGGGAGAAAGTGAGCGTGTGCCTCTGGCATGGGGTTGGTCCTGCCTGCCCTGCATGCTGTGCCCTGCCGTTCCATGCTGTGCTGTGCCGTGCCACATGGCCCCCCACCCTCTCTGACCCGCCTGTCCTGCCCTGGCCCTTCTCCTGCTTCCCAGGGCTACTGTTTCGTGGCAGGATCCCATCGCTCTGGCTGGGGAACAGCGGGGACATGTGGCTCTCGCGTAGAGAGAACCTGGTGGGTGGGATGGACGCAGCCTGAGGCAGCACTAGCCCTTGGTGGGGGCACTTGCATGTCCTAGGGCCTCTGGGAAAGGGCTGGTTTGGTTAGTCGTTGTATGAGAGTGGGGCTGAGACCCTCCAACTTGCGTCACGTAATCAGCATGCCCTGGGAGAGCCTCTGCTCTTCGGGGGCTATGGGTTTGACCAGGACAGGGGCTCGGTGATGGGGGGGATGTTGGGCAGAGCGAGAAGGGGGCAAAAAGCACATAGCTGGAGTGTGTTACCCCCCTTCCTCCTGCCTGCTCGCTGTTCCTCCTCCTCCTCACCGCTTTGCCCTGTGTGTGCAGGTGTGACGCTGCCCGTGGCACCAGCAAAGCCCACAGCCCCCCTGGGCCCCTTCGGAGAGGGCAGCAAAGCCCCAGCATCGCTCTGCCGACACGGAGCACTGCGGAGTCTGGCTGAGATCCCGGGGGCCACAGAGACCCGCACCCTCTGGGACGTACCCCCTCCCGGCCAGCCGCTTTACGGGGCCCTGCCATCGGGGTACCCCTCCAGCCAGAAGCTAACGGGTAAGGTCCACGCTGGAGAGCGTGAGGGCACCTGGGCTGGGTGTAGGGGAGCAGGGAGGAGACCCGGCACCAGAACGACTGGTATGGGGCAGGATAGCGGGGACAGCAGAAGGCTGGTGGCACAGCCACCCCTGCCCTCAACCATTTCCCTGGCGGTGGCAGGGGCGGACCTGCTGGAGGAACACTTGGTGGAGATCCGCAGCCTTCGCCAGCGCCTCGAGGAGTCCATCTGCACCAACGACCGGCTCCGGGAGCAGCTCGAACGCCGCCTGGCCTCCACCGGCAAGGCCAGCGGTACGGTGCTGCACTGGAGCCAGGGCTGCCGGGGCGGGGGGGGGCCCTGGCATTGCAAACCCCATTGCCCGGGGAGGGCGCTCACCCCGTGCACGGCGGGGTGTTGGGAAGAGACAATCATCCCCGGCCCCTGCTTTGCAGGACTGCCCAGTGATGTCTATGCCCAGACGCCAGAGCTGGGGCTGCAGCTGAGCGGGGAGAACCAGGCTCTGCGCGAGGACAACCGGACCCTGCGGCTCCAGCGTGACCACCTCTCCCAAGGTAGGGCCAGGCCACCAGCATCCCGGGGCTGAGCCCCAGAGGGCACTGGCCGAGCGACACCTCCGTGCTCTCTGTCCCCAGAGCTGGCGCGGGTGCAGGAGGCGCTCCTGGCTGCCTGCTCCCGGGCACGGGAGGCTGAAGCTGAGCTGGGCCAGAGGCGTGGGGAGCAGCGGAGGCTGGCAGAGGAGCTCGCCGAGCACCAGGAGGGTGTCCGGCAGCTCCGGGACGAGCGGCGCTCTCTGCAGGAAGACAACAACAGGTCAGGTTTGGGGTGTTGTGGCCCTGGGGACAGCAGGGCTGGGTGGTACGGGCTGGCGCCGGACCCACGTGTCACCCCTCTGCAGGCTGCAGCACACGGTGACGCTCCTGCAGCAGCAGTGTGAGGAGCACCGCCTGCTCCTGCAGACCCTGCGCGCCGAGCTGCACGTCTACGAGAGCCTCCCCGGCCCCCCTGCCGAGACCCGTGCGGGTATGGGCACCCCCATGCCCAACCCCCTAAAACTTTCGCCACCAGCCCCAAGTCCCTCTGCCCAGCTGCTGATTTTGGGGTGCCTGGCCCCTCTGCAACCCTTGGGCGGTCCCACGCACCTCTCCTGTGGTGGCAGCAGGAAGGAGGTGGTGGCCCCTCCGGCTTGCTGTGAGGGAGGGCGAGCCCCCAGCAGCCCCAGGGTCACAGCCCTCCGCAGGGGCTCCGACGCTTCTTGTTCCAGGCTGCTTCCCATCTCCTCCGGTGCGGGATGTTGGCACAAGTTTGGCAGCTCCCCTCTTCTCCCCGCTGCCCTCTGACATGCCGGTGGGCCGGCAGATGGATGGTGGGTACCGGAGTTTGCCCACACGTGTGCCTCGGGGAGCTGCCGAGACCTGACAAACTCATGGCAGCGCCTTTGCTGAGCAAGGGCTGGAGAGCCCGGGGCAGAGCCAAGCCTCTGGAATGGGATGGGCAGGGCCACAGGGAGAAGCAGGCAGTGGTCATCACCTAGCCTGTTCCACAGAGCCACGTGGGGCAGAGCCACGGGTGAGGAAGAGCGAGGGACCGACGGGGGCTCACGTCGTTGGCCGCCTGGATACCTACCGGGCCCTGGAGCAGCACATCCTGGAGGGGAAGGCGCTGGCCCACGAGCTGATGTGTCTCACGCGCCCGGCGCTCGGGCTGCCCAACTGCCCGCTCCCAGGACAGGAGGTAACGCGTGGGCAGGACGGGGCTGGCGGCGGCTGGGGGCCAGCCCCCCCCCGGCCCACCCAGAAAGCAGCTCCTGAGCCCGCTACCACCCCCGAGGCTGGCGGGGCCGGCGAGCGGCGGGTACCCCCCAGCCTGGGGGCTGTCGCCGGCGCTGCCCCGCTGCCTTGGGCCGGGCGCGGCGAGTCCCGGGGTGCAGCGGGATGCGGGTGCCCCGGCGGCGCCCGCTCCCGCACCCTTCTCCCGCAGGCCCGGGGGTGGGCGGGCGCGGGGCACCTCTGGGGCAGCGCCAGCACCTTGCACCGCATCCTGGAGGAGTGCGCGTCTTTCCTCGCTGCCTTCTGGAGCGCCGTGCTGCCCGCCGGCCCTGCCCCGCAGCAGGGCAAGGTAAGCGCGGGGGCCGGGGGCCGGCGGGGCCGGCTGCTCGCTCGCCGCTCAGCGCCTTCGTCTCGTCCCGGGAGCAGGAGCTGCGGGGCGAGATCGCGGCGCTGCGGGCCCAGCTGCGCGAGAGGGAGGATGCTCTGCGGAGCACGGCCGAGCGGCTGCGCAGCACAGCCCAGCTGAAGGACAGCATGGAGCAGTTCATCGTGAGCCAGCGTACGTGGCGCCGCCAAGCTGGCCTGGTCCCCTTGTCCCCCGGGGCGGCTCCGCGGCGCAGGGACCCCGCTGACCCTCGCTGTCCCTCTCTCCCCCGCAGTGACCAGGACGCACGACGTGCTGCGCAAGGCCAGGACGAACCTGGAGGTGAGTTTGCCCCAAGGGGATGGCCCCTGCCCTGGGGATGGGCGCAAATGGCAGACACCCCGTGGTGACCGACGGACGGACGCAGGGGGGGTGCAGGGAGGGGGGGGGACACACGTGGATCTGTTTTCCTTGGTTGCCCCCAGCCTCTGTGTCCGTGTTTCCCTTCCCTGCCACGCGTGCTCTCTCGCCAGGTGAAGGCTCAGCAGGCCCTGCCCGTCGCGTGAGCCCCCGGCAGGGCAGGGAGCGATGCCCCTGGCCGCGGAACAGCCCGCTGGCTGCCGAGCCGTGCCACGCCGGAGGGCTGGAGCAGACCCTCTCCCCATTCCTGCCGAGGGGTGGACAGGAGTTTGGGGGGGGGGGGGGCGGGGGCCGATGCTGCACTTAGTGGGTTTGGGCTTCCACAGTGGCTGTGTGCCCTCTGCCCACCTTCGCTTGGCGGCGCAGCAGCTGCTGGCTTGGGCTTTGCTCGCCCCACGCTTCCCGGGGTGCTTAGAGTGGGGTGTCCCAGCCCTCCACGCTGAGCACCTCTCGCCCCAGGGCTCAGTCCCGTTTGTAACCCTGCTGCGTACCTGTCCCTGCTCGTGGATGTATGTATATGTATATAGCTAGAGGTATCAGAGCTGCGTTTCAGGGGCTCCCCGGGCATGTCGGGGCCCTGGCGCAGGAGGAAGATGTAAGAAATGCCACGTTCTGTTCAGTGGCTGGGGAGTCCCCAATAAAGGTTTCCTTTGGCTTGTGGTGTTTCTGGCACGCCTGTCTCTCTGCAGCCGTGCTCCCCCCTCCCCACGCAGCCCCAGGGGCCACAGGCACTGCCTGGCCCCGAGCCCCACCCCAGGGGCAGCTCTATACCCCACCGGGCGCTCCCTTCCCTCCCCAACAGCAGGCCAGCAGCACCGAGAACAATAAATACTGTAATAAATAGAGAAAACCCTGTCACATGGCACTGCTCCGGCGGCGGGCGGTGTAGCCGGGGCCCTGGGGTACCTGCCCTGCTCCGCTCTCCCTGGGCCCCCTCCAGCGTGGGTGGGTGCAGGTGCCCCTCCGGCTGTGACGAAGCCAGCCCTGCCCCGCAGAAGCACTCGAGGTTGGGGACGGGGCGTTCAGTCCTCGACGGGGCCGTCCCGGCCGCAGGTAAGCGTGGCTGCGTCCGGCTGTAACCTCCCTCCCGCTGGCTCGACGCCGAACCTGGCAGAGGGCTGGGGCTGCAGCCAGAGCCGAGGGGCGGGTGGCAGGCTGGGGTGTCCCAGAGCCCCTAGGGATGAAGGTGGCCTCGGAGGCCCATCACCAGGACAGCACAGCAACCTTCAGCAGGCAGGACACATTCCCGGAGGCCTGGGGGACAGTGCCAGGACCACCTCGGGGCGCTTGCAGGCTGGAGAAGTCGGGTAGCGTGAAGCCCTTTCCGTGTTGGGCGTGAGGAAAGGCTGTTCTGGTGAGCAGCAAACAAAGTGGCCCCAGAGACTCACAGAAGCCAAGGGGAGCTGTAGGTGGGTGGAAACCAAGGGTTAAATCAAACCACACCAGTAGGATGGGGCAGTGTCACAGGCCCCAGCGGCCCTGGGCTCAGCGCCTGGGCCCGCGTCCCTGCCAGGTTCGAGGCTGGAGCCAGCGGCCAGTTCTCACAGAGTCCCGTGGCCCAGTGTGTGCAGACAAAGCGGCTTTTCGTGTCCTGCGTTGGGGGGGGCGGGCGAGGCCCCGGCTCAGATGGGCTTGTACAGCAGCGTGGTGACGTACTTCTTCTTGTAGCGGTGCGTGGCACTGAGCACCATCACGCCGTCCTGCGAGAGGCCACGGCGTCAGCCGGAGCAGGCGGGAGAGCTCAGCGCAACCTGGCTGCGCCCACCCGGGCGCGGGGCACCCCCCCAGGCAGCCGGCAGCAAGAGGGCTCTGCCAGCTCGGGGAGCAGAGCCGGCGAGACACGTCCAGCACCCACGACGGGGAGCCAGGGCAGAGCCAGGGGAAGGGGCTGGTGGCACAGTCAGCGTGCCCAGAGCCGCTCAGCTCCACCCCGCTGTGGGGAGGCGGCTAAAGGGAATTGTAAAGAAAACCACAACCCGCACCCCTGCGCGTGCCCCGCTTCGCCAGGCAGCCAAGCTGGCCTTGCGTGGGTCCTCCCATCCCTGCCCCACCGCCTCCTGCCCCCGGCTCTGCCCCCCACCGGTGCTGCAGGCTCCTGGGAGCCCCAGCAGCTCCCCTTCCCTCCTCCAGCGGCCTCAGGGGACCTGCCCTTACCTTGATGGAGAGCGCGTAGAGGTGATTGAGCATGACGTGGTTGGGTTCGGGCAGCAGTGCGGGGTCACACTAGGAGGAGAGGAGTGTCACAGGGGAACAGCAGAGCCCTGACCCCCCCCCCCCCCCCCCCAAGCCATCACAGGGAGCTGCCCTCTCGGGCAACCTCAGCCACTGGTGTCTCTGGCTGATGCTGAACAGGAACAGAGCTCAGCCAAGCACCAGGCAGAGCAAGGGGCCAAACCAGCGTGGTTAATGGGAAAAATGATGCTTCTCCCAGGAAATGCCAAGGGCTAGGCCCCAGCCAAGGGGAGACCTGGCTCACTGCAGACAGGACTCCCCTTCCAACCCCAGTGCGGCTCTGTAAGTGTGGGCAGTATGCTGGTACTCACCGAGATATTGGTGTCCTTGTTCAGGATGACCTGGAGGAGGTGAGGCGGGAGGATGGGTGGGGATTTGAAGCGCTCCTCGGGCCGGTATACGTACATTTCTTGGCCATAAGGTCCGGGGGGTGAGCTTGATAAGTCTAAAGAGAAGAGAAAGGAGGAGACATGAAACAGCTAAAGCAGGACTGGTGAGCACAGAGCAGCTCCCAAGAAACTGAGAAGGACCCAGCAGGGTCTTTCAGGCACAAACATCTTCCATGAGCCATGGCCATGTATCCTATAACAACAGCTCAGCCTTTTCACATCAGGAAAAGCAGCCAGGAGACCCCTGGGCATCTCCAAGCAGGGCTGTTAGCTGGTACATGCACTGACACAACACAAGCACCCTGTGGTATCTGCCCCGAGACCCCTCCTCGCAGCTCTGGGCACAGCTGGGTCCTCACCTCCCTGCAGCAAGCAGCCAGCCTGCCCCAGAGCTGTACCCTGTGCAGCAGGGGCACAGCAAGCAGCACGCCTGCACCCTCTGGGTGCTGCAGGACTGCCTGATGAGGAGGTCCCAGAAAGGGCAAAGGGGAAGTCTAGACTGAGCAGCTGCTCAACCCATGTGAGGGACTGCGGGAGCTTGTGGTTGCTGGAAGCTGGACTGGCCATATCTCCCTGCCACATCTGACCTGATCATTTTAGAACAACCAACGCCCAGAAGGGCTCCACCTCCCTGGAGCTGCTGCTGCTTGCTGGCTTCTTTCCAAGGAAGTATCTCCTGCTGGGCCGGGCAAAGACGTGAAGCTGAGCTATATCTGAGACAAGGCTTGTAGCAGAGATGGCAGCTGCACTCAGAGTGCCCTGGACCAAAACACGACTGAGCTACCTGCCAGCATTACACACCGAGCCAGCACCGCCGGTGTCTGCATGGTAACCTAACCTGCTGCTGTAACACAAGTGGACAGGGAGGTTTCCGATGCGCTAGCACTAGTACAAATTACCTTGGCATGAAAACCAAGAGTAGCCGCTGAAAATAACCTGGATCCTGCTCTCACCTAGCTTGTACCCCAGATCGGATGACTTACTCACAGTTGAGCAGACAGAAAGGGCTGATGTTCCCGGCGTTCACCAGTCTGAAATGGCTGCCTCAGCCACGCACAGGCACTGGCCCTGCTCTGGGACAGCGCTAGCACAGAACAAGTTACACCAGCACAGCCCCTCCACAGAGACGAGCTCTCAGCTGTGGGCTGCTGAGGACATGCTGCCAAACACTATTCTTCTCGGGTGCAGGCACACACCTCTGCTCAGGGGTTCTCTTCACCCCCAGAGCAGTGAGTCTCAGAGCAGAGGAGGTGGAAGATAGCACATGCAAAGCTGTAATGCTACAAAAACTCACCCCGACCTGAGGTTTCTGAGCTCTCCAAGGAATCCACCTTCAAAGCATCAAAGACCTCAAAGTCAGACTTCTTGACGTGAATCAGGTTGTTAATCGTCCCCATCTGGCTGGTGACCACAGGCTGGAAAGAACTGAAGTAAGAGTCTTCCTATGTTCACCTCCAATCGAAGCACACTCAGGGCTTCCTAGATCCTCCCAGCCCAAGCTGTCTTTGCTGCACACCTGAGAGCACATGTGGGCAGCGTCTAGCTCGGCTCTACGCTTGCAGGTCTCTGCTGTTCACCCTGGGAGGATCTCCCTTTACTCCCAGGCTTTTACATCACCTCCTATTTTCACTCTCCATCCTGCTAGGTGCCAATGGGTAAGTGTCCTCTCCTTCCCATGCTGCTACTGTATGATTCAGTTTGGAGGAGAACCTGCGAGTGAGTGCTGACCCCAAGGCCCATCTTCCCATGTAGTCGATTCTCAATGGGACTTAAAACCCTTCTGGTGTTACCAGGCCCCTCAGTACCTCTCCGACACTCCCCTATACAGCACGTCTAAGCCCAGAGGAACCAGCCTCTGAAAGGATTCATGGGATGGAGAAGTCCCTTTTGTTTTGGCAGACACCCTCTGCTCTTCCTGTTCCCCCTCTGCTGCAATTACATCATGTCTAGTCTCCCGAAGAAGACAAGATCTGAAGGGATAAAGCTTTGAGCGTTACCTCAGATGGGTCATGGACCCATTGGCCATCCACAAAAAATTTGTACTGGTGCTCTCCTTCTGGGAGGTCCAGGATAGCGACAAAGTCATTGTGGCTGTGCAGAGAGAACAGATGTGCAACAGCGTTACCCTGTTGATGCTCTGGATGCCATTCTTCCACGGGGTCCCAGCAAACAGCACTTTTTCACGCACTGCCCAGCCCCTCTACCCCAACCGTTCCATGCAGGGTTAGGCTTGCTCATCGTCAGTGATCTGAGGCATAGGCACAGCAGGCGCGAGCGTTCAGAGCACTGGCGTGGCTCAGACCCTTAGGGGTCCAGCTGCAAGGAGCGCAGGAGGCAGTCCAGCCCTGTGTGCCCCGGGAAAGTCAATGTGACAGGCACCCCCTGCAAGACACACCGGGGAGGATGCGTGGGCAAAGCATCTAACCCTGCGCTGGCACCGCAGGAAGGGGGCAGCAAGTGTAACAGCTCTGTTTGTGAAGCCTGCAATTGAGATAAATCCATTCCAGATGATTTGCTGGGATTATGCCCAGAGTCCTACACAGTGTTTCCACGGAAATCACAGATGTATTGCGGAACAGCGAGAACATCGTTAGGGCAGGAAGACACGTGAGGGACAAACAAACAACCCTCACTGGCAACAACACAACTAGGCACAGGGTAAGGCCACAGCCAAGGGAAGAGCTGACAGCTTCCAGAGGACTGCTGCATACCTGGGCAGGGCTCTGCTGCCAGGACTAGCTGCTGCGTGACACCCGGCTGGACAAGCAAAGTAGCCCATCCTGTCCTGTCCCTCTGTTTCACAACTTCCCACCGCCACCACAGCACCACCCAGGGAAGAACCTGACTACGTATTTGTGCTCAGACCCTCCAGCTTGGGTCAACTGAGAAAAGCCAGGTGAGCAAAGGGAACAGCAACCAGCACAGAGAAGGGAAAACACTGCCTGCGATGGAGCAGATGAGAACATAGAGTGACCTGAGAGACAGGCTACCTCTTGATGAGTGGGATCTTGGTGCTCCAGTTGTTGAAAGATCCGGAGATGAAGACCTCTTTGCCTCCATCAGCCCAGCGGATGACAGTGGGACGAGCCTGTTGGGACGGTTTCACTGACTCCTCCAGATCTGGCTGCCACGACACAAACTCCTTGTCCCCAGCAATCTGAGAAAAGAAAACCAGAGTCCGACTGAGACACAGAGACAACCAGGACCACCTTTACTTCCCCCTGGCCTCTCCAAGCCTGCCTGCACATCCCAGACAAGAACATCGCAGAGCTCCTCCAGCCTCCCTGCTCTCCCCAGCCCCCTCACGTGGCTGGGAGCGCAGCCCCGCACAGCCGGTGAGCGGAAGCCCCAGCCAGGGACCCAGAGGGCAGGACAGGACAGCCAGCAGCCAGCCCTTACCTTGGAATCGTGGGAGCTGAAAACACTGGGGTCATCAGTGCTCCCCACCATGATCTTGTGCGGGTGCTCCTTGGCGGGGTGGGGGGCACCGGAGCCGTCTGAGCGGTGGGACTTGGAGCCATGGCGTTCCCCAGACACTCGCTCGCTGGTGGTGTTCCCCATGACAGCTCAGCAGCCCCTGTGAGAGAGAGAGGACAGCAGTGTGCCTGTGCCCACGGGCTCCGGCAGCGAGGAGAGGAGCAAAGGCGCCGTCTCCCAACGCTCTTTGCCAGGGGAGGCTGATGACAATCCTAAAAAGGGGCCAGAGTTCATTCCCACTGCCAAGTTTGGGAGCTGAATGGGAATTTAACAAACAAGACAGCTTGACCTAATTATAGCCATATCCTTACGAACCATCACTCTAGATAAGCTGGTGATTGTGGTACTCCAAAACCAATACTAGTTACGCTGCATCCCACAAAAGCCCTCGGCAGTCAGCATAGTAGAAGGGCTGATGGGAAGAATAAAGCCAACCTTTACTGGCAAATCAATTGCTTGGCGTTAAAACAGCCTCTTCCACAGCCCCACAGTCAGGCTCTACAGACAAATCCCCAACATCCAGCACGAAAGCAGCCGGAGAGTGAAAGTAGCAGCTGTTTAACAGCTCCCAACAAGTCTCCAAGAGCTTGCGAGCAGAAGAGTGGAGCCTTGCACCTGGCAAAGGCGACAGGGAGCATTTAAAGAGTCTGAGTGGAATCGCCCAAGCTGGATCTTGGCCAAGGTGTAGGGCTAATGCCGTGGTGTCTGCAAAAAGCTCAGCCCTCAACGGCATTCACTTATGATTCACCAGGCAAGCCACCATGTCAGCTGCATCACAGCACAGCGAGGAGGTCTGCTTGTTGTGTCCCAAACCAGCGGCACCACTCCCAGCACTCCTGGCCTGGCCACCCAGAGGCAGACGATGAGGGCAGGACGATGCCAGCCACCCCCAGGGCCACTCTGCAGCTGGAGATGGGCCGTCACCCCCGATCTCACCCAGCTCCCAGAAGGCAAGACAGAAGAACTGGCCATACGAGGCCAAGCCATGAACAGCTACACACCTCTCAGGACAAACAACAAAGCCACTGCAAGCTACGTGGGACTCCTCAGGCCTTACCCAGTTTCTAGCAGCCAGGATGGATTGGGGTTCTTGCCCCCTTCCCAGGCTTAATTTGCAGCTTTCAGCTTACTGCACTGATCATGGGCTCCGCAGGGCAAGGCAAGAGGACAGCCAGCCTTGCTCCACGCGCTTAGTTGCGACATTTGGGTATTTGTTTAGAAGATCAAGTTATATGAAGGGTGCCAGGCAAGGCTGGCAGCCAAAGCCAGGCTTTAGAACATTGCGGAGCAATTACTGAAGTATTTCTTAACTCCTGAGGGCTAAAAGGCAGTTTGAGAGGGCACTGTACCCCCACCCCCACTCAGTGAGGATCAAGTATACCTGAAGATCCAGGTCAGATGAGCTACACCACCTGCTCTGCCACCTTCCCCCTCTGCCCTGGAGAAGGCTCAGCCCGCTCCTCACAAACCCTGTACCACTAGACCTGCTGTTGAGGAGCTCCTTCCTCAGTAACTCCGCTAAGGCTCCCTTACTTCTCATCCATGAGCAGGAAGGTAGGGAAGGCTCTTGTACCAAGGCAGACCTGAGAGAGACGTGCAGGTGTCGAAAGCTTCCCTTTCTCTTCTCTAAAATGAGTCCAGTCCCTCTGGCTGTCCCTTATAGGTCACGCTCTCCAAACGCCTCCCGAGGTTTCTCTCAAGCGGTGGCTCCTTTCCGGCACTTGGCATCTGAAACACCGCACAGACAAGACCACCCCACCTCCTGCATCGTGCACACAGGCACCCTGCTGCGCTGGGACAGCGAGCTCTTCGAGCACAGCCGGCAGTATTTGAATTTACTTAAGTATTTAACTTAAGTAACTTAATTAACTTCTACAGCTAAACCCCTCCTGCGTTCGGACGAGCCCTTGCTGCGCAGCACGCTCGGATGGTGCGACACAAGTCCGTCCAAGTGACCGATGGAAACGCTGCCCACACCGAGGGCCAAGCAAACCTCCGCAGCGTCTCAGCGCACCCGCTCCCAGCTTGGCAGCAAGCCGCTGCCAGCTGCAGTCCGCAGTAAGGTGGGTGCTGCCGGCTGGATCCCAAGGCCCTTTCACCCTCTGCCAGCCCTACCTCCCCACTTTCCTTCTGGAAACGACAGGTGAAACCACATCAGTTCCCCCCCAGAGATGTGTCATGCTTGCTGCCTCTCCCACCCGGCCAGTGACCTGTGACTGGGAACGCTGGCGGCTAGCCTCAGAGGGTTTATTTTGGAGAGATGGGCTCTCTGTTCAGCACCTCAGTTGCCCGCAGCCTGCTCGGCTGCTGACCCCTCCTGGGGCTGGAGTTGCCCAGGGAAGCCCGATTCGCCCGGACTCTCCCGCCTCCCCGCTTTCGGAGAGGGGAACCAAGCCAGGAGGTTGCCGTAAGGTTTCGGGGACGCGCCGGGAAACCGGGGAGAGGAAACTCTCCCTCCTCCCGGGCCCACGCCGAGCAGGCACGGCGGGGGTGAGGGCTCTGCAAAGCTCGGCCCACGGCCGCCAGCTCCCCTTCCCCGCCAGGTCGCCTCCGCCACGGCCCTGAGGAGAAGCGGCCGCACCGGCAAGTGAGACAGGGCCACCGCCACCCACCGCAGTGTCACCCGGGGGGACGCCCAGCCAAGCCTCGCCCACCGCCTCCCGCAGCAACGCCCGGCCGGCTGCCACCCAACCCACCCGCGGCGTGGCCAGCCGTGACACCCCGCCGTCACCCCCCGGCCCCGGCCGCCGCCCCACCTGGCCGCCGCCGCCGCCCCGCTCTCCGCCTCCGTCCAAAATGGCGACACCCCCCGCCGCCACCGCCAGCCTCTGAGGGGCGCTCTGGCCCGCCCCCGCCTGCCGCTCTATGGCCGCGGACCGGCTTCCCCGCAGCCGGGCCGCCGCCATGTTTTTTGAGGGCAGCTTCGCCCGTTGTTGTGAAGGGCCGCTGGCCTGGCTGGCGGACATGTTGGCTGAGGGCAGCGCGGCTTCACCCGCCATGTCGGGTGAAGGCAGGACAGGGGAAGGGGTCGGGGATGGCCGTGGGGCTGGGCGGCAGCGTGGGCGGGTCGGCTGTGGGGTGCTAGTGGCCAGGGTGCTGCCCATGGGCTTGCCAGGCCCTGCGTGGGCAGGACAGACGCCTGAGGACGGATACCGGAGACTGAGAGAGCCCACACAGCATGGTCCCTGGTCCCCTCTGCAAGGGGACAAGCTTTATTGTCCTTTCCCCCAAATCGCCCTGGCCGGGTGAGCTCCCGGTTTCCCCACTGCCTCTGTGGTGACCTAACCCACGGGTAGAGTTTGCGGAGTTGCTGGGCCAGGATTTAGGGAAGAGGAGTGCTGCCTGTCCTCAGAGCAGCCCCCCAAAAGTCCTGGTGTGGCCCTGGTACAGCAGGAAGGCGAGACAGAGCAGGAGCTGACTCCCTCGGTACCTCATGACATGACAGCAGATCTAGCAAGACTGCAGAAACACCCAAGCCCGAATAAAAGATTGCCAGAAGGACCCGCTGCCTCCTTCATTCTAGGTTAAGGAGAGAGCAAGACATAGACGAGGGTGGCCACAATCAAACCGACGCTGAAGAAGACCTTGAAGACGTGGGGCACGGTGCTGGAGCGGGCAGGACGGTCCCAGGCTCTGGTTTGCAGAGGCCTGACCACACGCTGCCGCTGGGTGAGGATGGCTTCCCTGGCACCCACCCACTCGCCCGGGCCCCGCAGGCGGTACTGGTACGGCGTGCAGGGCCCGAAGGCCACCTCCAGCGCCAGCTTGGGGTCGGTGAGGAAGAGGGCGAGCAGGTTGGGCTTGACCCCCACCTGGCAGGCGAGCTCGTCCATGTAGGGGATGTAATCCACCTGGATGGTGTGCCGCTGGCTCTTCACGTACCTGCGGGCAGGGTGGGCAAGGCGGGTTTGGCATGTGGACACGGGGGCAACCGTGACAGGGGCAATGCCTGCGCAGGGTCCTTACCTCTTGGCCATTTTCTCCTTGGTTTGCGCGATGTCAGCCAGCATGTCGGCAGACGGTGGCAGGTCCTGCAGCCCTGGGGGAGAGGAGGCTATATCTGGAGGAAGGACTGTGCTCCCGCCATGGTCTGGCTGGTTCGGCAGCACAGCCTGGCCCCTGCTTGCACATGGAAGCCTTTGGCTCTTCGGGGACGTGCCACCATGTCAGGAGCAAAGTGGGAGGCGTGGGTGAAGAAAGTAATGGCAAGGAAAGGAAGGGAGGAGGTGGTTTGCAGGCAATGGGACCTGTTAGTGGACCCTGCAAGAGAAGATGAGCGCAAAGCTCATTTCCAAATGCAACACTGTTTTTTGTCCCCGTGAAGAAGTGGAAGGAGAATAAAAAGGTGAGCGGAAGGAGATGGTGTGCAAGAAGATGCCACCACCTGAACAACTCAGCCTTGCTATGGCCGGGGGAGCCCAGCTGTGTCCCCCCAAACTGCCTCGCTTACCCTTGAAGACATGAGTGGCCCAGCGACACTGGAGCTCAGAGATGGGCATGATGGCACCCAGGGGCTGGATGAAGCCGATGAAAGCCAGCGTTGGCTTCTCCAGGTCAGTGGGGAACATGAATTTGTAGAGAGATATCTGGTTCTCCACCACCTTCACGTAGCCTTCAAGGAAGGGGAAGGAGAAGCTGTATCCCGTGGCAAAGATCACAGCATCGATGTCTTCCCTGGTGCCGTCCTCAAAGACGGCAGATGTCTCTGTGAACTCCTGGATGTTTGGCTTCACCAGCACCCTGCCCGAAATGATGCAGTTGGGCAGGTCGTCGTTGATGGTCGGGTGCTGGTCAAGGATCCTGGAAGGTACAGACAGACCTCGCATGGGCCTGGGGCAGTGGGGTGGGCAGCACTGGGGCAGGTACCTGGGGTGCTGCCGGGGCACTCACCGGTGCTGGGGCTGCAGGCCGTAGAGTGTGTGGTCAAAGCGGGCGTTCATTTTTCTCTCCAGGAAAAAATTGGTGGCGTTTTGAGGCAGGAGGCTGTGGAGAAGCTGCGTGAAGCGGCTGAGGTAGGAGAAGTCAAAGGGGTATCCGCCATCCGCCACCCGGTGCAGCACCCAGGTCCCACGCTTGGTGCTGAGGAAGACCTGGGAGGAAGGAGAGAAGAGGTGGTGGCATGGCCGCATCCTCGGGACTGGGATGGTCCCCGCTGTGCTCCTCGGACAGGGATGCTGGCACAGCTGCTGGGACCACAGCAGCCACCCCCATCGAGAGGGGACAGGGTGGTCCTGGCCAGGAGCTGGAGGGAGGGGAGCCCTCAGGAGATGGCAGGGGGTTGCTTGGTGCCCTCTGGGGTCCGAATAATAAACACCCCAGCCCCAGCAGCTCTCCCGGCACACCTGCTTGGCTACATGGCTCAGCTCCACTGCGATGTCAATGCCTGAGTTCCCGGTGCCGACCACGACCACTCGCTTCCCTGAAAAGGACTGGGGGCTCTTGTAGTCCCGACTGTGCAGGTACCAACCCTCAAATTTTTCAAGCCCTGGAAGAGAGAGGGAAGCTGTTCTGGGCAGGGATGTGGCGCAGGGAGTGGCTGTCCCCCTGCTCACACTGGTGGTGTGTTTTGGGAACAGGCTGGGACCAGTGTGACCCAACGGGAGCGATGCAGCCTGGGGATGGTGCCCAGAGAGGTGGTGGCAACTCCAGCCTGGGAAATGGTGAGCGAGGCCCTGAGCATTCTGCTCTGGCTTTGGGGCTAGCCTGGCTTGAAGTAGGACTGGAGACCTCTGTGCTCCCGTCCCCAAATCCTCCTGCAGTTCCAACCTGCTGCCAGGCATTGGGGGCACAGGAGCAGCTGGAGTCTGTGCTGTCCCAACAGACCCCGATGACGATGTGTTCCAGCCTGTTCCCCACCCAAAGAGGGTCTCCACAGCTGAAAGCCCCCCAGGCATTTTTGCCCCAGGGGTGTCAGGGAGCGGGTGGGCAGCCCGTGGGGCGGTACCTGGGAAGGTGCTCAGCGGGAGGTGTGCCTCGGTGTGGTGCCCGGTGCACACCAGCACGGCGTCGAAGACGGCCGCCTCCTGCTTCCCCTCGCTCTCCGTCACCACCTCCCACTGGCCCGTGGCAGCGAAGTCGGGGCGCTTGGACACGCGGCACACGCTGGTCTGGGTGTGGGGAGAGCGGGTGTCAGGCACCCCGCGCCCCCTGGCCCTGCTGTCCCCCCCGACCCCCCCCAGCTCTCACCCTGAAGCGGACGTGGCGGAGCAGGTCGAAGCGCCGGGCGTACATGCGGAAGTACTCCATGATCTTGGAGTTGTGCATGTAGTTGGGGAAGTTCTCGGGGATGGGGAAGTCGCTGAAGCACATCATCTCCTTGGAGGTGTTGATGATGACGGAGCGGTAGATGCTGGCGCGGCCCTCCTCGGGGTGCTCCTGCGGGAGCAGGGCACAGCTCGGCGCTGGGCAGGGACCCCAGGGCTGCCTGTCTGCCCTGTCTGTCGCCTTGCTGTGCCTCTGGGTGCAGGATTAAGCCACGGGAGGTCGTAATACCCATCCTTGCACCCAGCACCCTCCTGCGGGTGTGACCATCCGCCCCACAAAAGAGGGAAGAGGAAGCTCTGGGTTGGCAGGGGCCATGCAGTGGTGACAGCAGGTTGTGGGGTCTTGTGCCTCAGTTTCCCTGCCTCCCACTCCCGGCCCTGATGAGGTGGCGCTTTCCCAAAGCTGCCCGTGGTGCCGTTGCTCTGGTTGCCACACTGGGTCTCACTGGTTGGTGAGCCAGCTCTGGTGCTTCTAGCTGAGCCGGGTCTCTGCCCCGGCACTGGGCGCTGCTGCCCTGGCGCTCCCGCACCGGCCCTATTTCTGACTCACCATGGGCAGAACCAGTGGACTGGTAGCCCAGCCACCCCAAACGCCACGCTGGCGCGGTGCGATGTATGTCCCCCCGGGCTCTCCCACACCCATCAGGGCACGGTGGGAAGGCTTGTTTTCTTGTCAGTGGGTCCTCAGGGGAAAAGTCAGCAGCCGCGTTAGGTGAGGGGCAGAACTGGGGGGGTTCCCCCGAGGCAGGGAGAGACAAAGTACAGAGGAGGCGGCGCTCGATGCCTCTGCGTGGGTGAGCTGCACAGCAGCAGGGAGAGGAGCAACTGGGACTTCCAGGGAGGGGCTGGGCAGGACAGGAACTGGGACAGGCAGCAGAGTCAGGTGGGACCAGGATGGGTAGGAAAGGGCTGGAGGGGACCAAGAGCAAAACAACAGAGGAAGGGATGGATGAGACTGAGAAGGGAGGGATGGAAAGGGGGAAGGTTGAGCTGGGGGAGTGAGCCCTGGGGTAAGGTCCTTGGCAAGGCTCTGTCCTGCTGCTGGTGGGAAGGAGACGGGTCCCGTGTGGCCGGCACACTGACTGGCACCTGGGGACCTCCCGCTGCTGCAGCAGCTTTTCTTTCCTGGGGTTTTCCTTGAAAACCTGCCTGCCGCATGCACGCAGAGCAGGGGAGTGGTGCTTCGTTAGCTGCCAGCGACCGATCCCAATCCCATCCGTGCTGCTGCCGCGGGGCAGGCTGGCATGGTGCAGGGCTTACCTCGAAGCGCCAGAGCCCCCCGATGTCCCCGCTTCTCTCAAAGCAGGTGGGTACCAGCCCTTCGTCCAGGCAGCACTTCAGGGCGCACAGCCCAGAGGCACCGGCACCGATGATGGCGACTCTCCGGGCAGCCATGTCCCGCAGTGCAGGGATGCTGGGGGTGAAACACCCTCAGGGGGATGTGGAGCCTGGTGGGTCACACCGAGGGGGACACGCGGTGCCGCTTGGTCGGGGATGGCTGTTCCCGTGTTTCCCGTGGGTAACCAGCCGGAGTGTCACAAGGTTTATTTCTTCCAGACATGATCTACAGGTTTCCCCCACCCGCCGTGCCACACCTGCTTGCGCCTGCCCTTCCTAAGGGGATCATTAGGCTCTGTAAGCACTTAACGACGCAGACGCCGCGCCAGGATTTCTGGGGTGCGGGGCTGAGAGGTAGCTGCGCTCCAGATTTCAGCAGGTCGCGGCATGGAAAACAAAAGCGGGGGGATGCTGAGGGTACTGGTGGCTGGCAGCTGTGCCAGCCCTGGCGTGTGGTGGCCAGAAGCCCCCCGTCACCGCTCCGGGTCCCCAGCCCACCCAGCCATCCTCTGGAGGGGCTGCATGCAGGGGATGAGGGTGACGCTGAGCCGTGCCGCTGTGACCACCGCGACCCACTCTGGCGGCGCACGCCCTGGGCGAGGCTGTTTTGCTGTGGGTACACACGTGTGCACGTGTGTGTGTGCTGCCACGGAGCTGGAGCTGAGGCCGACCTCAAACCTGTGCCCATCTCCCCCAGCACGTAGGGCAATGTTGTGGTATCAGTGATGGGACGGACGCCTGACTCTGTTTAACACACTTTTATCCAGTTAGGAAGTCTGCTGTGCTTTTGCTACTTGGCTCTCACGTGAGTGTGCCAGTGGTGGCTTAGATGGGTTATCGGCAACAGAGAAGCTGATAAGTCCCCGCTGGGTCAAAAGCGCTGCTCAAAGAGGGACTGGATTTTATCCTGTGTGTGAGCAGGTTTCCTTGTCCGTCCCCAGCAGCGGCTCTCCAGGGGGAGGTGCAGAGCGGGCGCAGAGGCGTTATTTCAGCAGCCAGGGAGGCTCCGTGCACCCTGAGCTCGCGGTGCGGCCGCGGTGGGGCCGTGCCAGGCAGGAGGAGGGCTCCTGCCAGCACTGGGACGGACAGGCTGCCGCAGGGCAGGGGGGGACCGGGCAGCGCCCCCCCCCAGCACATCACAAAACCTCCCTTCCTGCACTTGTAGGGCACCTACAAGTAAGCAAAAATGACAGCGAGGACGGCCACGGCCCCAACTAGCTTGAAGACGAGGGGCATGGCAAGGGCCGATGCTTCCTTCTCCATGTGCCGCGTCTGCAGGGGCTTGATGATACGCTGCCGCTGGGTGAGGATGGCTTCCCTGGCACCCACCCACTCGCCCGGGCCCCGCAGGCGGTACTGGTACGGCGTGCAGGGCCCGAAGGCCACCTCCAGCGCCAGCTTGGGGTCGGTGAGGAAGAGGGCGAGCAGGTTGGGCTTGACCCCCACCTGGCAGGCGAGCTCGTCCATGTAGGGGATGTAATCCACCTGGATGGTGTGCCGCTGGCTCTTCACGTACCTGCGGGCAGGGTGGGCAAGGCGGGTTTGGCATGTGGACACGGGGGCAACCGTGACAGGGGCAATGCCTGCGCAGGGTCCTTACCTCTTGGCCATTTTCTCCTTGGTTTGCGCGATGTCAGCCAGCATGTCGGCAGACGGTGGCAGGTCCTGCAGCCCTGGGGGAGAGGAGGCTATATCTGGAGGAAGGACTGTGCTCCCGCCATGGTCTGGCTGGTTCGGCAGCACAGCCTGGCCCCTGCTTGCACATGGAAGCCTTTGGCTCTTCGGGGACGTGCCACCATGTCAGGAGCAAAGTGGGAGGCGTGGGTGAAGAAAGTAATGGCAAGGAAAGGAAGGGAGGAGGTGGTTTGCAGGCAATGGGACCTGTTAGTGGACCCTGCAAGAGAAGATGAGCGCAAAGCTCATTTCCAAATGCAACACTGTTTTTTGTCCCCGTGAAGAAGTGGAAGGAGAATAAAAAGGTGAGCGGAAGGAGATGGTGTGCAAGAAGATGCCACCACCTGAACAACTCAGCCTTGCTATGGCCGGGGGAGCCCAGCTGTGTCCCCCCAAACTGCCTCGCTTACCCTTGAAGACATGAGTGGCCCAGCGACACTGGAGCTCAGAGATGGGCATGATGGCACCCAGGGGCTGGATGAAGCCGATGAAAGCCAGCGTTGGCTTCTCCAGGTCAGTGGGGAACATGAATTTGTAGAGAGATATCTGGTTCTCCACCACCTTCACGTAGCCTTCAAGGAAGGGGAAGGAGAAGCTGTATCCCGTGGCAAAGATCACAGCATCGATGTCTTCCCTGGTGCCGTCCTCAAAGACGGCAGATGTCTCTGTGAACTCCTGGATGTTTGGCTTCACCAGCACCCTGCCCGAAATGATGCAGTTGGGCAGGTCGTCGTTGATGGTCGGGTGCTGGTCAAGGATCCTGGAAGGTACAGACAGACCTCGCATGGGCCTGGGGCAGTGGGGTGGGCAGCACTGGGGCAGGTACCTGGGGTGCTGCCGGGGCACTCACCGGTGCTGGGGCTGCAGGCCGTAGAGTGTGTGGTCAAAGCGGGCGTTCATTTTTCTCTCCAGGAAAAAATTGGTGGCGTTTTGAGGCAGGAGGCTGTGGAGAAGCTGCGTGAAGCGGCTGAGGTAGGAGAAGTCAAAGGGGTATCCGCCATCCGCCACCCGGTGCAGCACCCAGGTCCCACGCTTGGTGCTGAGGAAGACCTGGGAGGAAGGAGAGAAGAGGTGGTGGCATGGCCGCATCCTCGGGACTGGGATGGTCCCCGCTGTGCTCCTCGGACAGGGATGCTGGCACAGCTGCTGGGACCACAGCAGCCACCCCCATCGAGAGGGGACAGGGTGGTCCTGGCCAGGAGCTGGAGGGAGGGGAGCCCTCAGGAGATGGCAGGGGGTTGCTTGGTGCCCTCTGGGGTCCGAATAATAAACACCCCAGCCCCAGCAGCTCTCCCGGCACACCTGCTTGGCTACATGGCTCAGCTCCACTGCGATGTCAATGCCTGAGTTCCCGGTGCCGACCACGACCACTCGCTTCCCTGAAAAGGACTGGGGGCTCTTGTAGTCCCGACTGTGCAGGTACCAACCCTCAAATTTTTCAAGCCCTGGAAGAGAGAGGGAAGCTGTTCTGGGCAGGGATGTGGCGCAGGGAGTGGCTGTCCCCCTGCTCACACTGGTGGTGTGTTTTGGGAACAGGCTGGGACCAGTGTGACCCAACGGGAGCGATGCAGCCTGGGGATGGTGCCCAGAGAGGTGGTGGCAACTCCAGCCTGGGAAATGGTGAGCGAGGCCCTGAGCATTCTGCTCTGGCTTTGGGGCTAGCCTGGCTTGAAGTAGGACTGGAGACCTCTGTGCTCCCGTCCCCAAATCCTCCTGCAGTTCCAACCTGCTGCCAGGCATTGGGGGCACAGGAGCAGCTGGAGTCTGTGCTGTCCCAACAGACCCCGATGACGATGTGTTCCAGCCTGTTCCCCACCCAAAGAGGGTCTCCACAGCTGAAAGCCCCCCAGGCATTTTTGCCCCAGGGGTGTCAGGGAGCGGGTGGGCAGCCCGTGGGGCGGTACCTGGGAAGGTGCTCAGCGGGAGGTGTGCCTCGGTGTGGTGCCCGGTGCACACCAGCACGGCGTCGAAGACGGCCGCCTCCTGCTTCCCCTCGCTCTCCGTCACCACCTCCCACTGGCCCGTGGCAGCGAAGTCGGGGCGCTTGGACACGCGGCACACGCTGGTCTGGGTGTGGGGAGAGCGGGTGTCAGGCACCCCGCGCCCCCTGGCCCTGCTGTCCCCCCCGACCCCCCCCAGCTCTCACCCTGAAGCGGACGTGGCGGAGCAGGTCGAAGCGCCGGGCGTACATGCGGAAGTACTCCATGATCTTGGAGTTGTGCATGTAGTTGGGGAAGTTCTCGGGGATGGGGAAGTCGCTGAAGCACATCATCTCCTTGGAGGTGTTGATGATGACGGAGCGGTAGATGCTGGCGCGGCCCTCCTCGGGGTGCTCCTGCGGGAGCAGGGCACAGCTCGGCGCTGGGCAGGGACCCCAGGGCTGCCTGTCTGCCCTGTCTGTCGCCTTGCTGTGCCTCTGGGTGCAGGATTAAGCCACGGGAGGTCGTAATACCCATCCTTGCACCCAGCACCCTCCTGCGGGTGTGACCATCCGCCCCACAAAAGAGGGAAGAGGAAGCTCTGGGTTGGCAGGGGCCATGCAGTGGTGACAGCAGGTTGTGGGGTCTTGTGCCTCAGTTTCCCTGCCTCCCACTCCCGGCCCTGATGAGGTGGCGCTTTCCCAAAGCTGCCCGTGGTGCCGTTGCTCTGGTTGCCACACTGGGTCTCACTGGTTGGTGAGCCAGCTCTGGTGCTTCTAGCTGAGCCGGGTCTCTGCCCCGGCACTGGGCGCTGCTGCCCTGGCGCTCCCGCACCGGCCCTATTTCTGACTCACCATGGGCAGAACCAGTGGACTGGTAGCCCAGCCACCCCAAACGCCACGCTGGCGCGGTGCGATGTATGTCCCCCCGGGCTCTCCCACACCCATCAGGGCACGGTGGGAAGGCTTGTTTTCTTGTCAGTGGGTCCTCAGGGGAAAAGTCAGCAGCCGCGTTAGGTGAGGGGCAGAACTGGGGGGGTTCCCCCGAGGCAGGGAGAGACAAAGTACAGAGGAGGCGGCGCTCGATGCCTCTGCGTGGGTGAGCTGCACAGCAGCAGGGAGAGGAGCAACTGGGACTTCCAGGGAGGGGCTGGGCAGGACAGGAACTGGGACAGGCAGCAGAGTCAGGTGGGACCAGGATGGGTAGGAAAGGGCTGGAGGGGACCAAGAGCAAAACAACAGAGGAAGGGATGGATGAGACTGAGAAGGGAGGGATGGAAAGGGGGAAGGTTGAGCTGGGGGAGTGAGCCCTGGGGTAAGGTCCTTGGCAAGGCTCTGTCCTGCTGCTGGTGGGAAGGAGACGGGTCCCGTGTGGCCGGCACACTGACTGGCACCTGGGGACCTCCCGCTGCTGCAGCAGCTTTTCTTTCCTGGGGTTTTCCTTGAAAACCTGCCTGCCGCATGCACGCAGAGCAGGGGAGTGGTGCTTCGTTAGCTGCCAGCGACCGATCCCAATCCCATCCGTGCTGCTGCCGCGGGGCAGGCTGGCATGGTGCAGGGCTTACCTCGAAGCGCCAGAGCCCCCCGATGTCCCCGCTTCTCTCAAAGCAGGTGGGTACCAGCCCTTCGTCCAGGCAGCACTTCAGGGCGCACAGCCCAGAGGCACCGGCACCGATGATGGCGACTCTCCGGGCAGCCATGTCCCGCAGTGCAGGGATGCTGGGGGTGAAACACCCTCAGGGGGATGTGGAGCCTGGTGGGTCACACCGAGGGGGACACGCGGTGCCGCTTGGTCGGGGATGGCTGTTCCCGTGTTTCCCGTGGGTAACCAGCCGGAGTGTCACAAGGTTTATTTCTTCCAGACATGATCTACAGGTTTCCCCCACCCGCCGTGCCACACCTGCTTGCGCCTGCCCTTCCTAAGGGGATCATTAGGCTCTGTAAGCACTTAACGACGCAGACGCCGCGCCAGGATTTCTGGGGTGCGGGGCTGAGAGGTAGCTGCGCTCCAGATTTCAGCAGGTCGCGGCATGGAAAACAAAAGCGGGGGGATGCTGAGGGTACTGGTGGCTGGCAGCTGTGCCAGCCCTGGCGTGTGGTGGCCAGAAGCCCCCCGTCACCGCTCCGGGTCCCCAGCCCACCCAGCCATCCTCTGGAGGGGCTGCATGCAGGGGATGAGGGTGACGCTGAGCCGTGCCGCTGTGACCACCGCGACCCACTCTGGCGGCGCACGCCCTGGGCGAGGCTGTTTTGCTGTGGGTACACACGTGTGCACGTGTGTGTGTGCTGCCACGGAGCTGGAGCTGAGGCCGACCTCAAACCTGTGCCCATCTCCCCCAGCACGTAGGGCAATGTTGTGGTATCAGTGATGGGACGGACGCCTGACTCTGTTTAACACACTTTTATCCAGTTAGGAAGTCTGCTGTGCTTTTGCTACTTGGCTCTCACGTGAGTGTGCCAGTGGTGGCTTAGATGGGTTATCGGCAACAGAGAAGCTGATAAGTCCCCGCTGGGTCAAAAGCGCTGCTCAAAGAGGGACTGGATTTTATCCTGTGTGTGAGCAGGTTTCCTTGTCCGTCCCCAGCAGCGGCTCTCCAGGGGGAGGTGCAGAGCGGGCGCAGAGGCGTTATTTCAGCAGCCAGGGAGGCTCCGTGCACCCTGAGCTCGCGGTGCGGCCGCGGTGGGGCCGTGCCAGGCAGGAGGAGGGCTCCTGCCAGCACTGGGACGGACAGGCTGCCGCAGGGCAGGGGGGGACCGGGCAGCGCCCCCCCCCAGCACATCACAAAACCTCCCTTCCTGCACTTGTAGGGCACCTACAAGTAAGCAAAAATGACAGCGAGGACGGCCACGGCCCCAACTAGCTTGAAGACGAGGGGCATGGCAAGGGCCGATGCTTCCTTCTCCATGTGCCGCGTCTGCAGGGGCTTGATGATACGCTGCCGCTGGGTGAGGATGGCTTCCCTGGCACCCACCCACTCGCCCGGGCCCCGCAGGCGGTACTGGTACGGCGTGCAGGGCCCGAAGGCCACCTCCAGCGCCAGCTTGGGGTCGGTGAGGAAGAGGGCGAGCAGGTTGGGCTTGACCCCCACCTGGCAGGCGAGCTCGTCCATGTAGGGGATGTAATCCACCTGGATGGTGTGCCGCTGGCTCTTCACGTACCTGCGGGCAGGGTGGGCAAGGTGGGTGCTTGTGGCAGAGCTGGCAAATGCCCCGCACTCCGGCAGGGCAATATAGGACAGAGCTCCATCGGGCAGGATCAGCGGGGTGGGGGGGCAGAGCAGCCAAGCACATCCGAACCATCTGTTGGTGTGGCCAAATGTGCCGGGACACAGCCACAGAGGATGGGATGAGTGCCCACAAGCAGCCGTGCCCAAACTGTCCCCCTCCCTGTTCCCAGGGGCGCCTTACCGCTTTGCCATCGCTTCTTTCTTCTTCTTGATGTCAGCCTCCATGTCGTGCTGTGGGGGCAGCTTGTGCAGCCCTAGGGAGGATGAGCCACAGCATGGGGGTGCTGCACCCCGCTGGCAACAGTGGCCACTGTGGTGCTGCCCTTGCTGGCACCACTGTGGCGGGCGGCCTGGCACCCGAGGCGTGTCCAAACTCCTCGAGATGCCAGTGAGCAGCCGGTGAGGCTCAGGGTACGGGTGTCCCTGTGCCACTCAGGCAAAAGCCTGGCTCACCACGAGAGCTGAGAGGTGGCCATGCCATCGCCTGCGGCCACGGTGGCACAACTGGCAGCTGCCACCCAAACATGGCTGGGCACCGTTTGCCCCAGCTCCAGGGGTGCGGGCTCAGGCTGCAGCCACAGGGGAGCTTCGCCTCGCTTACCCTTGAAGACGCGGGTGGCCCAGCGACACTGGAGCTCAGAGATGGGCATGATGGCACCCAGGGGCTGGATGAGGCCGATGAAAGCCAGCGTTGGCTTCTCCAGGTCAGTGGGGAACATGAATTTGTAAAGAGAGATCTGGTTCTCGACCACCTTCACGTAGCCTTCGAGGAAGGGGAAGGAGAAGATGTATCCTGTGGCGAAGACCACGGCATCAATGTCTTCCTTGGTGCCATCCTCAAAGATGACAGATGTCTCTTTGAACTCCCGGATGTTTGGCTTCACCAGCACCCTGCCCGAAATGATGCAGTTGGGCAGGTCGTCGTTGACGGTTGGGTGCTGGTCCAATACCCTGAAAGGTACAAGGACCCATCAGAGTGCTGGAGTGGGGTGTCTCTGCTCCGTGTCCCGCTCCAGCCACTGTTCCCTGCTCTAGAGATGCTCATCCCCAGGGATGCTCATCACAAGTGGGGCTGGTCCCCCAGGGATGCTCGGCAGCCGCCACTGCATTGGTGCCACCAGGGGTCCCTGGAAGGGGCAGTGGTAGCTCCCTCGAGCATTGCCTGGGCACAATGCAGCTATTAACTGGGTTTCCAGGACTGGTGCCTCAGCCCTAGCCCAGGTACAGGGAGCATGGAAATGGCCAAGCGGGGCTGGACGCAGCGGCAGGCGGAGGGTCCCTCCTGGGCAGGGGGAGCATTTGCTGGCACCTGTGCTTTGGCTTCAGGCCGTAGAGCGAGTGGTTGAACCTGGCGTTCAGCTGCTTCTCAATGAAGATGCTCATCACAGATGAGCTCAGCAGCTCTTTCAGGAATATATTCATGCGGGTGGTGAAGACGACGTCGATGGGGTAGCCCTGATCTCCAACGCGGTTGAGGACCCACGCGCCCCGGCGGGTGCTGAGAAAGACCTGGGCAAGGAAGCAAGTGTCGCTGCCTGGAGACTGACTTTCCTGAGGGGACACCCCTGGGGGGACATATCCTTGCACCAGGATTGCTCCTCTTTGTTCTGCCCAAGCATTGGGTGAAGACCCAGAGGGCAGAGAAGAGCTGGCAGTCAGTGCCCAGCAAGGAGGGGTAGGGAAGAGCCGCAGGAGCAGCCCCAGCCTGGAGCTCGGGACTGGAAATCAGGTTCTCCATATGGGTTTGAGTCTAGACTGCCAGCACTGCCTGGCAGTTGGGATTGGCAGGTGCTGGCACCGCCAAATGCAGCGAGTGCTGGGATAGAGAGGTGGCTGTGCCAGCACCTTGGTCCTGGTGTCCTCGTGGAGCTAGCAATGACCCATGGGGAGCTGCCCTGCTCACTGGGACCCCACTCCCGCTTCTCACCTGCTTGGCTGTTCGGCTGATCTCCACAGACAGGTCCAACCCTGAATTCCCAACCCCGATGACGATGACCCTCTTGTCTGTGAAATCCTGAGCATCCTTGTAGTCTCGGCTGTGGAGGTAGCGGCCCTTGAAATTCTTGATTCCTGTGGGCAGGGGGGAAGGATGCTTGGCTTCTTGGCACTGGGCTGGAGAGTGACCTCCCCAAAAACTGAAGCGGGGCTGCTCCCTGGCCCCACCAGACCCCTCCTGGAGAACGTGGGAGTGCTCCTGGAGCCAAAGCAAGGCAGGGAAATGCTGGGGCTGGGAGGAAGAGCAGCAGGGAGAATACAGACTGCCACGGTCGGGTTTTCTGGGGTCTCTCCTCATGCCGGGGTGTGGGGTACCTGGGAAGATGCTCAGCGGGAGGTGTGCCTCGGTGTGGTGCCCGGTGCACACCAGCACGGCGTCGAAGACGGCCGCCTCCTGCTTCCCCTCGCTCTCCGTCACCACCTCCCACTGGCCCGTGGCAGCGAAGTCGGGGCGCTTGGACACGCGGCACACGCTGGTCTGGGTGTGGGGAGAGCGGGTGTCAGGCACCCCGCGCCCCCTGGCCCTGCTGTCCCCCCGGGCCCCCCCCCAGCTCTCACCCTGAAGCGGACGTGGCGGAGCAGGTCGAAGCGCCGGGCGTACATGCGGAAGTACTCCATGACCTTGGAGTTGTGCATGTAGTTGGGGAAGTTCTCGGGGATGGGGAAGTCGCTGAAGCACATCATCTCCTTGGAGGCGTTGATGATGAGGGAGCGGTAGATGCTGGCGCGGCCCTCCTCGGGATGCTCCTGCGGGAGCAGGGCACAGCTCGGCGCTGGGCAGGGGCAGTGGTGGGGAGGGGTGGCTGGGGCTGATGTGGTGGCCCGTTGCGTGGAGCCCCTGCCCTCAGCCTCGCCCCCAGCACCCCGCTGTGGCCGGCTGCGTGTCACCCCACCAGCCACCACTGATCCCCAGCCGCTGCCACGGTGCTGACCCCCAGCAGGACACGTTGCCGAGAGGGGTTACCTCAAACCTCCAGAGCCCTCCGATGTCCCCGGTCCTCTCGAAGCAGACGGGCTCCATCCCCTCGTCCAGGCAGGCTTTGATGGCGCACAGCCCGCTGCTGCCCCCGCCGATGATGGCCACCCTCTTCACCATGCTGTCCTCCACCACCGGGTCTCTGCCTGGGGTCAGTGCTGGAGAGCGGGTCTGAGCAAAATCTTGGCCCTGCGCACCAAAGAGGTCCCAAACTGAGAGACAGCCCCCCCCCCCCCCCCCCCCCCCCAGTTTTATCTGGGGCTGCGAGGCAACTGCTATCCATCCCCCAGCAGGGACCTGGCTGGTGCTGGGGTTTTGTACCATCACGGTGTTTGCCTCTGGATGCCATGGGGCGAAACGCTATCGAGTGCCAGGGAGCCTCGATATCTCCCTGCCCACGCCAAATCCTGGCGATGAAGGCGTGCTGGAGTGGGGACGGATGGCTCCCTCCCTGGTGGGCAGCAGCCCCCCCCCCGCCTGCCCTTTGCCCTCTCCCTTCGCCGGGGGGGCTGCCCACCGTGCCACCCGGGGTGCCCGCTGCGTGCCGACAGCCCGCGGGGTGGCCCTCAACCGACCTGCAGCCGTGGGAGCGGCAGCCCAGGGAAGGCCGGCGGCAGGCAGGGAGCCACGCGAGGGTCTCTGCCCGGTTGCCACAAGCCGTGACGCCGGACGGTGGCCTGGCTTTATGGTGCGCGGCGGCGACGAGCGGGGCCTCCCCCTCCGTCACTCCTCCCACGGGGTTGGGGAGAGGAAGCCAGCACCCGGCTGCTTCCCGGCCGCCTGCTTGGCTTTTCCGGCAGCAGCTCTTGCCACAGCCTCGGACGGAGGGGTGAGGAGCCATTCCAGGTGCCTTGCCAGAAATCCCCGCGTGGGACAGTGTAGGAAGAGGCAGAGACGCAGCCGGACCCCATAGTGTTGCACACCGAGTAAACAAACGCTGCCCTGAACTTTTACCTGTGGGATTATCAGGATCAGCCCAACCCTGATTATGCTGGTACCTGGGGGCACACGTGGCTCCGGCTGTTCCGAGTGGCACCTGGCACTGCATCACCCACACCCCGTGCCCCTGGGCTGGGTATGTTGGCACAGCGTCCCCGTAGCCGCAGCTCGCTCCTGGGCCATCGGAGTCCTGGGGCCAGCGGGACCCCAGTGCGAGGAGCGCCGCGCTGCTGGGGTGTCGCTGGTGCCAGGGTGGTGGGACTGGTTAGGAAAAGGCTCTCTGGCAGCAGAGCGTGTGGCACCGCTGGCTCGTGGCACGCTTGCAGCCAGACGGTCCCGGGGGCTGCAGGGGGTTTGCTCTCCTCTGTCTGGGGAGATTCACCCCAAAGCTTTGCAAGGCACAGGGCTGTGGCAGGGCGAAGCCCTGCAGCTGAAATGATTTTAATCTTCTAAAACTCACAGTATGTTTGCATTAAGTGCAATAAAGCTCTTTCTGTCCCTTGCTGTTGGCAAGGGCTGATCTCTGCCAGGGGCAGGGGTGTTAAGCTGTCAACCCACGCTCTGTGCCTGCCTGTCGAAAAGCATCAAAAACATCTCTTACCGGACAGGGGGATCAGCACGGGGACGGCGAGGAGGCAGCGCTACCCTCCCTGCTCCGCTCTCAGCTGGCTTCTGGCTCTCTTGCAAGCTCTGCAGGGACTGCCCAAAGGCCACAGTCTCTCCCAGCTCTCAGCCCAGGTGCTATGAAACCTCTGTGCTGGTTGCCTTCGAATTTGCCCTTCTCTGTTGGCAGCTACAAGAGGCTGCAAAGCCCTGGACTTTGCCTGCACTGTGCTTGGACTCATGACCCGGCTGAACCACACTGGCAGGGACAGGGGATTGCGGGACTGTACAGGGGTCAAGCCACGGCATTTCGGTCAAGATCTGCTTGTTGATAACTGCAGGACAGCCATGGTCCCCCATGCCTGGCAAGCACCCAGGATACTTAGCGTAGTGGGTACTGGATGCAGACATGTCTGCTCAGGGCTTCTGCAGCAGGCTGAGGTGCCGTGGGACAAGGCAAGCAGAAAGCACCAGTGTCTTCCTTCCCATCAGCGGGCTGGCACCCATGCTCGGAGGAGCAGTGACAAGGGGCTGCGCACTGGTGATGGCGGGGGTCACCAAGCAGCTCACGGAGGGTCCTGCAAGTGAGCTGGGGGCAACTCTTGGCACACACGTGCATGTGGGAACAAGCCACAAATGTGGAGTTGCTGCTGTACTCCTCCGTGGCCTGGAGAGGAAGACCCCAACGGCTGCAAGAACCGCTTGGCTGAAAAGCGCCCTGTGTTCGGGGAAAAAAGTAGAGCTCAGGTGTTTTGGCACAGCTCAACAAGGCTTGATCACCCCAAATCCTAACCACACTGGAGCATGGCGCCTAGCCGTGATCCCGCAGCCACCGCAGAGCTTGTCTCTGCCTTGGGGCAGGAGGGCTGGCCGGGGTGGCCAGCTGCCACTGTGGACAGACTGGCTCAGCCGGCTGCCAGGCATGTGCTGCAACCCAGGGGATTATTTTTTTGGGGGGGTACTGAGGCTGGTAGCTTCACCAACTCAGCATGCCGGTGGGTCAAGGCTCAGCTCTAGGGGGAACCTTGTCACGTCAGGCGCTTTCATTTCAGCACCATATAACTGATGGTGGGTGACAAAGATGGGGTGCTTGTGCCAGCAGCCTTCAGGCTGCTCCTGCACCCTTCACCCACAGGATACAACACACTTAAACACTACTTGGTTTTAATACAACTCATCAGTGCTTTCCAGAGCCTGAGTTCACTAATAGACCTTGATGGCCACGATGAGCCTCACCTGGGCTCAATCACCCCCACCCCCATTCCGGGAGCACTATTTAAGCTCAGTGCAGCGCTCTCATTCCCTGCTGGTGTCGATTCTGTGCTTTTTCTGGTTTGAGCTCAGTCTTGGCTCATTACAGAGGCTTCTCGTGGTTCCCTTTCTGCCAAGGACAATCAGTCCTCTATGAAAAACAGCAGGCTGTTGGGACCAACGGTGCCAGGGTAGGAGAGTCAGGGCCTCTTGCTGCGGGAGGTGTAGGTAAGGCTCAGCTCCTGGGGCTGCCCAGCAGCCTGGGCAAGGGTGGATCGCTGGCTACGGGGAAGGGGCTCACTTGGCAGTAGGCTGCCCAGCAGCGCTGGTAATGTGCTGACAAATGGGAATTGCTGTGAATGTACTGTACCCCCTGGGAGATTGAAAATCCTGGGGGGGGGGGGGGGGGGGGTTTGTTGCGGCGAAGGAGCTGCAAAGCTCTGCACAAGGGCTTCAGGAGCTGTGAGCTGCTTCCTGTTACCCGCTGGCTTGCAGATGGCATGGGTGGATCAAAGCCTTGGCTGCACCATCCTTTTCCCTGGCACTGGGAGGCAGGTGCCTGTGTCCTTATTGCTTAAGATCAGGCCTCAGTGCAGTGCTTAAATTGAGAGCAATAAAGAAGAGATGGATTGCTTAGGAAGGCAGAGCTTTCTGTAAACTTGAGGACAGATCCCAGCGAGTCCCCTCCAGGCAGACATTATGGAGCAGGCTGTGCCCATGACAGCAATATGATCCGTGTATTTACAGCATATAGATACATGGGGGACTGCAGAGAAATTTCTGCAAAGCCACAACTACCACGTACACCACGGGCTACTGCAGCAGGTGCCCAGCAAGAGCATGCAGATTCACGGTATCGGCAGTGAGCTGCCAGTTGGATGTGATGAGCCCTTCTGGGGCTCTGCAGGGATTGGTATTTTTTTCACGGGAGAACAGTCAGTGCAGCTGCTTGGCCAGCGCACTCCCTGCCTCACAGCCCATCAGGAGGGCAAGGCAGCACCAAACTTTTAAGTGTGGGCCCAGGAGTCTGCAGCACCGCTAGTGTGAAATCTTGGCGGCTGGATAGATGGGGTCTAGGATGTGAGTGCAAGTCCCAGTATCCCCTCCCTGTGCATGCTTAGAAAACCAGGTGCACACCTCCTCCTTTGGGAGGGACCCAGCCATCAATGGCTCCAGAGGGCAAAGAGGGCAGGCGCGCTGAGCGGGGACAGCCAGCAGTACTCCACCACGCTGTACAGCGCGTAGCCCAGCAGCAAACCAAAGAGCACGTCCGTCATGTTGTGCCTGCCCAGCATGACCCTCGAAACGCTGACGATGAGAGCCCAGAGCACCACGAGGACCCGCAGCGGGACGGCGAGTACCAGGTGGCGCAGGACGAAGCGGCAGACCAGGGCGGCTCTGGTGGCGTGGCCCGACGGGAAGGAGTACTTGTCCACCGAGATGGTGACGAACATGTCCATCTTGTTGTGGGTGGGCCGCCGCCGCTTGACGAGCCCTTTCACCGCTGCCACCAGCACGAGATCCAGCAGCAACGCTAGGAGACAGTAACAGCGAGTGAGCAAGGTTTGGGGTTTTGGTTCTTTGCTTTCCCTCCGTGGCACACAAGGCAAGAATCAAAGCGAAGCCGTTAGCTAAGAAGAAAAGCACTTGGCTACCAAAACCTGCTAAGAGAAGGCAGTATTTCCCATGGCTGCAATACCTGGGTGTGGAGAGCATGGCGCTCATCCAGCGCTTGGCCTTCTCCCGCATGAGTGCGTCTTCAAGCCCTGTTCTTGCTGCACACAGCCCCTGCGTGACACCAGACCCTCTCCCTGCCACAGGCAACGATGGGGCTCTGCCCAGCTTGCGCCCAAGGGCTGCTCTTTCTGTGTGAAATCTGATCTCACTGTGACTTGGGGCACAAACTGATCCTTAATCTGAAGGCAATACAGGGGTTAATAGTCCTGACAGCCCGTGCTGACTCGGCATTGCTGACTCCTGGCTGGGGGTCAAACTGACCTGGGTGAACGATCAACCCACCTCAACCGCTCAGCCGCAGCTCAGCGCGAGGTCTGGCTTCTCCCTGCTGCTGCGGGGAGCAACGCCAAAAAGTTGACCACACTTTGGTTTTCAAGAGCTGAATGAAGGATGATGTAAATAATGGTGGCTCGCCCTCAGAGAGCTACAGGCTGTTGCGGTGAAAGTCGGAGGCGAAGCACCTGTGAGAAGTGTTCAGCCGGGATTTGAAAAGAGCAGCTTCTTGTGTAGGGCAGAGGGTGATTTTTTTCCATCCCTGTTAGCTCAACTAGCGCAGTGCTCACAGCCAGGGCTCCCCCTTCCAAGGAAGTCTTGTGAGAGGCCAACTTCTGCTTGTCCTAAGGCTTGTTTCTGGACACCAAATCTTTTGGTCGCTCTAGTTCATTCCCTTGGGTTAATCATTTGTGAACAAGTATTTCCCTCCCCCCCTGCCCCCCCCCCCCCCCATGTAAACCTAGTTCCATTGCATTTTTACATATGGTTTGGGAGATTCAGCTTGGACATTAGGGAACACTCCTTCCCCACACAGGTGCTGCAACCCTGGGACAGGGCCCCAGGAAGGTGGGTGGCTCTGCCCCAGAGCACTGAGGGCTGGATGAGGCTCCAGTGCTGGGACAGACCTCCTTGGAGCAGAGGTTAGGTTGGAGGCCTCCAGGTCCCTTCCCTCTGCTGTGGGACTGTAATGTAACGCTGTGCTGCCAGATGAAAAAGGTGCACAAAACCCCCACGTGTTTCCTACCAAACAAATTTAAATTAGAGTGATAAGTGTGAGATACTGGCTATTTGCAACTTAATGAAAGAGTAAGAACTAGGAACCTGATGAGGTCTGTCGCTCTGGAGTTCCTACAGTTTCAAAATGAGGAAAAATGAAGAATCTAAGTATACCTAATAGGACAGGATGCTAGCGGGGGGAATATGACAGCGCACAAGATCAAAACACATGCTTCAAACCAAGCTTCCTCACTGGCTGATCCAGATCCATCCACGCAGGTACTGCCCGCAGGGAGCCCGAGGGTGCAGACATCTGTGTGCCAGAGCAGCTTCTCAGGGAGCGGTCTGGTGTCTCAACATGAGGCAGCCGCGCCTGGAATGCCCAGTCCTGACAAGCCGAAGAACTCAAAGAGAGTTCAGCTCCCTGAAAGTTTTGTGCAACTGCAGGAGCAGTTTTGCTGTCAAGAGCCGTGACAGATGAGCTGTACCCGCGCCCTCCGGCTGCGGGGTTACTCGCTCTGGTGCCGGGCACCCCAGATGAGCCTGCGCCAGTGACTCAAAACCAGTTGGCTCCCTCGGGGCTGAGGGGGGGGCTGAGGTTTGCTCAGCTCCGTTCCCATCCTTCCCCCTCTGCTCCGGCGATCCCCCCCCCCCCCCCCCCCCCCCGCCCTGCAGAGCCCCCCGCCTCACCGAAGAGCAGGTTGAGCAGCACCTCCCTGGCCGCCGAGCTGTCGCTCTGGCAGAGCCCGTACAAGGTGCCGAGCAGCCAGGGGATGCCGTGCCCCGAAACCTCGACGACCTTCATGAGGGGACGGGCGCTGCCCCAGGCCGAGTCCTCCCCAGCGCAGACGCCCAGGCGCTTGGAGGCCCAGAGGTCGATGGCGAGCAGGGAGCTGAGGGCGATGCCCAGGAAGGAAGGGTTCAGCTTCATGCAGTCCTCCTCGGGCAGCGGGGAGGCCGCGGAGCTGCCCGATTCCCGCCGGTGCGACGGGCTGTCCGGGGCGCCGGGGCTGCGCTGGCTCACCAGGGACAGGAACTCCAGGCGGCTGCTGCCCCCGCCGCTGCCACCGGCGCGTCGGTCGCGGCTGCTCCGGGGGCTCGGCATGGCAAGAGGCGGGGGGCCGCCCGGCGCCCAGTTCCCCCCTTCCCGCCGTGTCCCCGGGACACCGCACCCACCCCCACTCCCCCCCCCCCCCCACCACCTCGCTCTCCGGTACCGGGCGGCTCCGCTTCCTCTTCCGCCGCTCCGTGACATCACCCGGTTGCCATGGAGCCACGACGCCCCGGCGCTGCGGCGCCCCCTGGCGGAGGGGAGGTCCGCGCCGCTGCCGGGGGAGGGCTCGGTGCGCCCCGCCCCGCCCCGCCCCGGCCGGCGTACGGCAGCCGGCGAGGGCCGTAAGAGGCGCGGCGGCGGCGCGTTTCGCCCTGCCGGCGCCGGTGCGGGCGCCGGTGCGCGGGCGGCGATGCGCGGCGGAGGCGGCGGCGGCGGCGGCGGCGGGGGGGGGACGGCGGCGGCGGCGGCGGCGGGGGGACGAGCCGCCCCCCCGGCCCCGCGGCTCGGCGGCGGCGGGTGACGGCGGCGCGGCGGCGGCGATGGGGTGCCTGCAGAGCGTGGCCTGCAAGGCGCGGGTGCGCCGGGAGCAGATCGTGGTGTCGGACGTGTCGGCCACCATCGAGCCGGCGGCCACCGCCATCGAGGAGAGCTCGCCGGTGGTGCTGCGCTACCGCACGCCCTACTTCCGCGCCTCGGCCCGCGTCCTCATGCCGCCCATCGCCCGGCGGCACACCTGGGTGGTGGGCTGGATCCAGGCCTGCAACCACATGGAGTTCTACAACACCTACAGCGACCTCGGCGTGTGAGCACCGGCCGGCACCCGCGGGGGGGGACGGGGGGGCGGGACACGGCGCACGGGCACCGGGGTGGCTACGGCAAAGGGGGAACCCCGGGCTGCACGCCCACGCACCGGGGGTTGCACCCCCCACGCCCCGTGTCTGCACCCACAGCCGCGCACGGGTGTCACCTCCACCCCGGTGCCCGCTCCCCGAGCTGGGGGCCTGAGCCCCGAGGGCTTTGTGTCCACAGAGTCGCGTGGTTTTTTTTTTTTTTTTTTTTTGTTTGTTTGGTTGGTTGGTTGGTTTTTTGTGTGTGTTTTTTTTTTTCGTTTTTTTATTGTTTTTTTGTTTTTTTTTTTTTTTTAACGGGGCCAGGTCGTGAGCGCTGGGGGAGTTGCCCCCTTGGCATGCGAGGGAAGCTTGGCAGCGCTCGGCAGAAATGGCCCCTGAAATGCAACTTTTCCCGAGGCCGAGCGGTGACTCGGGGAAGGACGGGGACGCTGAGGGGGCCACCTCGCCGTGTCTCCTACCGGAGGGGTCCCGGTGCCTCGGGGGGGTGCTGGCACTGGGTAACAAGCAAGGCAACATGCACGGGTGCTGAGGGAGCAGCAGGTCCTCGTGCTGCCCGCTCGCTGGCACGTGGCTCCCGAGCGCTCGGTGACGCTGGAGCGAGCCGAGGTTGTCGCTTTTGGGGGGGGGCGGGGGGACACACACACAGAGGACACGGCGGCCGCCTGTCCCCGGCCACTCACGGGTGGCTTCAGAGCCCAGATGCGTTTGAAGCCAGAGCTCGGACTCGGCGGGAGGTTTCGCCAGAGCTCCCGGCTTGTAATTGCCACGTGGCAATTGTCTCCTGTGCCGTAGCCGCGCGGTGTTGCTAACGTGGTTGACAGCCAAGATTGGGGCTGGAATTTCCGCTCCCCCCCTCCCCAGCCATACTGCAGGGATTTCATGGCACCCAGCGGCAGGCGTGATTATGGTGTTTAATTATTGTACACGCTTATTTGCAGGCGCGTATATTTAGAGGCATAAAAATCGCAGGAGGAGGCTGCTGACGGGCTTGGCCAGTGCCGTGGCTGCGGTGCTGCAGCTGGCAAGATGGGGAAGGCTGTTCTCCTCCAGCGCAGGAGCTGACTGAGGAGAGATTGACCCCGGAGAGGCTCAGCAATGAGTTCTGGCCCGGTTGGTTTGATTGCAGGTTAATTAAAATAGTGGTGTGCTGGCAGAGCAAAAGCTTCAGCTGGCCCTGAGGGACTCATTGAAGGAACCAAAGCCGAATTTGTTCTTGAGGGAGGTCCTTGAGAGCTTGCTGCAGGCGGGGAGAGGGTCCCCATGCTGCTTGGCCCCCTGCCCCTCGCTGGGCGCCGGCGTTGCCGTTTCCCTGCTAACCTGGCCTTTCTCTTCCCGTTCACTAGGTCGAGCTGGGAGCTGCCCGACCTGCGAGAAGGAAGAGTAAAAGCCATCAGCGATTCGGATGGCGTGAGCTACCCTTGGTATGGAAACACCACAGAGACTGTGACCCTGGTCGGGCCCACGAACAAGATCTCCAGGTTCTCGGTGAGCATGAATGACAATTTCTACCCCAGCGTGACGTGGGCTGTCCCTGTGAGCAACAGTAACGTGCCGCTGCTGACCAGGATCAAAAGGGACCAGAGCTTTACCACGTGGCTGGTGGCCATGAACACCACCACCAAGGAAAAGATCATCTTGCAGACTATAAAGTGGAGGATGCGCGTGGACATTGAGGTTGATCCCATGCAGCTGCTGGGGCAGCGGGCACGGCTGGTGGGAAGGACTCAGCAGGAGCAGCCCCGGATCCTCAGCAGGATGGAGCCCATCCCACCAAACGCACTAGTGAAACCCAACGCCAACGATGCCCAAGTCCTCATGTGGAGACCCAAGCGAGGCCAGCCGATAGTCGTGATACCTCCCAAGTAGAGCGGCGCCGGTGCGCGCGCGCGCGAGGACCTGGGTGCTGTCAGCCCGCTGCAAGCAAAACGGGGTTTCTGAGCCAAAGCAGACCTCTTGGGTTCTCCTGCCTTCGTAGCTGTGGTTGGAAACGCGGCTCCTCCTTAGTAATAGGGCCTGGCCGGCACAGGGGGTGCAGAAGAGGGATTGCTGAGCTGGAGGATTTCCCAGGAAGCAGAATCTGAGTACCCCTAGGGGCTTACATCTGGCAGCGAGGCTGTCTGACCTAACTGACCCGTCTTCCCTTGCGGCGCGGTGCGAGGAGCGTGAGTGCGGTTGAGCTGTGCCCGTGGCGAGCGCTGCTTGCCGCCCAGCTGGAGGTAGAACCGGAGGCCATGCCTGCGGGACGCGGGGGGGGGCTCCTGCGGTGACCCTTCCCGCCGGGGGCGCGGGTGTCCCCGCCGTGTCTATACCTATGCATTTCGGATCGATAATCGCCCCGCTCGCTGGGACTGGGCGGGAGGGCCCGGGAGCGGAGCGGGAGCTGGCAGTGCTGGGGCGCCGAGCCGGAGCCCGGCCGCTGCCCGGGAGGGGTTTTCTGCAGCCGAGGGGAAGCGGGACACATTTTTGCATGCGTCTGGGTGTGTTTGGAGTAGTTGTGAGTGTAGGAGATGCCATAGCTCTTTTCAGTCTTCGAGTGAGATCTAAGGGCAGGTTAGATGTCCTTTCATTTTAAGGTGCACTAAATCTTTGCAGTTCCTCAACCTCCCTCCACCCCCACCTCCCCGAAATCTCACTGACCCTTCTCTTACGGAAGCAAAGCCGATTCTCAGCCGAGTGAGAAGCTGGGAGCAGTGCCCGTCCACCCAGCCCAGCTGCTCGCTGACTCTGTGTGTGGGGTACCCAAACCAGCTTGGAGGTACCTTGGGACTTGCACGCTTCCACTGCGGGCCCAAGTCCCTTGCAAGAAGTTGAGTGCTTGCTCATTTTCCACACCAATGCCGGCTCGTGTGGAGACCCTCCTCCTCCTTAGCCACCCACGGAGCAGGGTGCCTGCTGGCAGGGACACTGGCGGAGGGGACGGCACACCTTGTGGTAACTCCCCAGGCTCTGCTGGGTTGGGGGTCACCTCCCCATGGGTCAGAGGCAGGGATGTGAGCAGCAGCTGCATGGAGCAGGGCTGGGTTTGCGTGGAATCGAGGAGGTGAGCATGCTGCCTCCTGCTGCTGCACTGCTTGGGGTCTTAACAGGGGGTTTTATTTGCCTTTCTTCTCGCCCCTCACTGCCTGGATGGCTGGCATTGTCTGGTCCACGAGCAGGTGCCGTGCTGTGGGCTGTGACCTGTAATTCCCAAAATCTCGCCCTCGAGATGCAGCAGAGGTGTAAGCCACGGCTGTGCTGCCAGTGCCCCAGGTGCCCCGTCGCTCCTGGGCAGCTGGTTACAGCTTTTGCCACTTTCTCCGCTCCATCCCGGCACGAGCCCTGCAGCTCCTCCGGCTCACGCCCCTGCCTTTGCACCACGGGAGGTTTGCACTGGGAATTACCCGCATCTCCAGGGGGTAATTCCCTCTGGGATGGTCCCATCTTCTGTCCCATCCCCAAGGAGAGCCTGGGGAGGGTCGCCGCGTTCGGCGCTTTCACGCGAAGCCCTTCCTGCAGCGCTGCCCTCAGCCTGGCTGCCGGGACACCCGGCCCGGCGCTGCTTTGCTCCCCACGGCGTGCTGGCACGTCCCCGCGGCATCGCTCCGCAGAGCGCGGCCGAGCTCCTGCAAAGCTTCGGCCACGGCTTGTGCTTTTCCAGGGAGGGATGTGCACCCTGGTCCCCACTGGCAAAGGGGCTCCCCGGGCATCTTAGACCAAAAATCCCTGTGAAATCCTCATGCTCCTTATTATTCTCAGTAGTGTTTGCTGCTGATTTCTATTATTTATTTTTTCTTTTGGGAGCATCGTGTTTTGACGCCTCGATGCACATTTCTTGGTGCTGGGGCTGGCAGTCCTGCTCTTCCCGCCTGGCCTCACGGCGGGGTTGAGAAGCTGCTGCTTTCGGTGCCTCCGTCTGGGTTTCGCTGGGGGCTACAGCCTTGTGGTGGGAAAGGTTTGGAGGGAGAGGGGGGCTCTGAGCTTTGGTTTGCTGTGTTTTCTGGAGCAAAACTTCTACTGGTTAGCTTGTTGGTGTGGGAAGATGTCCCGCTGTTGTGAGACTCTGCACGTGGTTTTGTCCTGCCGCGGGATTGACAGCAGCTTTTGCCGTCACCGATGTTTCGTTTCTCAAAAAGCGTGTGTGGAGAGGGGCTAGAAACTTTAAATACAATTTTCCTTAACATTTGGGGGCGGAGGAGGAGGAAAGAGCTTTCGGTTTGAAATAAGTCAGATGTATACTTTGGACCCAGTGGGACAGAAATGCCTCTGGCAGCATCAGAGCTAAAAAGCCAGAGGAAGGGGTTCCCCAACAAACAGGTAGCCCTGAGATGGGCTCCCCGATGGGAGAGGATGCCACGTCCAGACAGGCTGCGTGAGTCAGCTCCCCAAAACCCACGTGGGAGAGCGGGGATGCTGGCACAGGGATGCTGCTGAATTCATTGCCGTTTTTTGGGAGGTGCTGGCCGACCGGAGCCTCGGCACATCATCTGCCTCACGCCGAGGCAGCAGCGGCCGCCGTTTCTGTTCGTGTGTGTGCGTCTGCAACGTCCCCGGGGAGGTGCTTGGTGCCGGTGTTGGGCTGGGGGCCTGGCCGTAGCCGTGTGCCTGCGCTCCCAGGGCTCCCCAGCCTGCAGGCAGGCTCTGGCTGAGCCCCGGGGCCATGCCTGTAGCTCACCCCTCCAGGCTTCTGCCAGGCTTCCGCGCCCGCTCCTTCTCCAACAGCTGGATTTGATGCACTTAACTCGGTTTGATGCGTGGGTTGTCTTTGTGGGCATTTCCCCGTTAAAAAAAAAAAAAAAGAAAAAAGTTTGCAAAAATTGTTGGCAAAAAAAAAAAAAATTTGCAAACAATGTTTGCAAAAATTTGCAGGCATTTGGCGTGTTCGCAAAAGGTGCGTGTTGACACTTGGGTGGAGGTGCTGGGTGAGCGTCTGCCCGAGCTCGGTGGCACTGACGGGGGGAGCCTGGGTGCAGGGCTCGCGACGCTCAGGTGAAGGGGAGGGAGGGGAGGCGGCGGGTGGGAGCCCCCACCTGCAAATCCGGGTCTGGCTCACGTCCCCGTGGCCTGCAGCCGTACCGATGGGCACCCCGAGCGGGAGCCCTGGCTGCAGAGCCCATGCCAGGGACAAACACCCGGACCCACGGGCTTGGCTGTCCAACCACCCCGTGGGCCGCCTTCCTTGCACTCCCCCTTTTTGCACCAGCACCCCGTTATCTCAGGGAGGGGCAGGTCACGGAAATGCCCACCCACACACTCCCCTTGCCCTGAGCCTTGGGGTGCCCCGTTTCCCCTCCGTCCCCATCATTGGGTCACTTATTTATTTATCTATCTATCTATTTATTTATTTATTTATTTATTTAAGGTTTAAGTTATTTATTGTATTTATTGATGGCTGAAAGTCGGGGGGGGGGGGTGTGTCATTTCTGCTGCGTGGTGGGGTCAGCTGGGTTCCCCCCCCCGCCCAGCCCCCTGTGCATTTTGGGGTGCCGCCAGGGAGGGATGCTTGCGGGCCCCCGGTGCTCCCATCCCCTTTCGGAGCCCCGGGGATGTGCTGGGGAAGAAAGGAAGGGGAATCACATTGGTGCCTGCAGGGAGGACACCCGGTGCCTGTCCCCTTCCCGCAGAAGCGCGAAGCCCCCGTGCCCCCTCCCCGGGAGCTGTGCTCCCTCCCGTGCCCATCCGTATTTATGGATCCACCCTCCTGGCGTTTCTCCGTTCGGCTCCTGCTGGATTTGCTGTTGCCAATTCCCGGAGATGGTGAGAAGAGCCAGGACGTGTGTGGGTGTCGCTATGGAGAAAAGACCAAACCAGGTATTCTGCTGCCGCGTGGGGAAAATCGGAAGGAGAAGAGGAAAGCTGGTTTTGCAGAGTGCCTTAAACACAAATGACTTTACCGAGTAGGGGGCTTGGACTTCTGTCTCTGGATATTATTACCAACTCGAACAAATGTTGCATTTCACTTCTCTGGGATTAAAAGAAAACCACTCGAGCTGTACTGGAACCAAACGCTGCGTTTGCTTGAGTCCGTCTGTCTGGCTTGCACCTCTGGGGCCACGATGGTGTGGGGGAGCAGGAAGGAATTCGGGGGCTTTTGGCCGTCAGCTCGGCAGTGGGACCACGGCTGCCCCTGCCGGCTTTGAGCCCTTGGGACCGGCGATGGGACTTGCTCCCCCTCGTCCCGATTTGCAGGTGGCTTCTCTGGTGTCCCAGAGGTTGCGCTCGCCCTGCCGTGGCCCCTCTCCGGGGATGCTCAGAGCAGCCTGTTCACACAGAGCTCGCCACGGGGGTCGTGTCGTCAAGCTTCCAAAAAACTGGGCAGTTGGTTGGAAGGCTCCGGAGGGCGGGTCACGCAGCCCTTTTTCCCTTGGGGAACAAGCTCAAGGCCAGGCCTGCGTGCCAAGAAACCCAAGAGCTCGTGCAGCACAACTGTGGGGAACTAGGGAAGCTGCCAAGCTTGATAAAGCTGAAAAAAACTACACAAAAAAGGGATGTTTCCCCTTTGAAATTGCAGATCTCCCACTTCTTGCAGAGTGAAAGAGGGGAAACAAGAGTCAACCCAGAGACTGAGGTTTTTTTTACAGTAAAAGTAATCCATGGGGATAATGCAGAATTTCATAATGAGGGTTCATCTAAAACTCATTTTGGGAAAAAATATATTCAGTCTAGTTCCTGGAGGCAATTAAATACTTTTTTTTTGATAATGAAAGAGGGAGGTCCCTGAAACACAGCTGTGTTTGGGGAAGAATGTCCTCAGGGGGTGTCCTGGCCTGCACACCGGGGTGGGGTACAGCCACGGGCGCTGGGAGAAGCCAGCGGCTCTCCAAGGACTGAGGCCACGTCCCAGGTGGGTGTGGGTGCTGCCCCTGGAGCAGGGTCTGCAGGATTCTCATTGCATCTAGCGTGTTCCTGACCACGAGCATCAACCCTACTAGTCCCCGCTTGCTCGGGGGCACGTTTGTGCCCTGAGCCAGGCGGGTTATTTAACAGCTGCTCATTTTGAGCGTTGCTGATTGTGCTGGGCACCGAGAGACGCTGGCAGGCAGCCTCTGAGCTTTTCGGTGAGCGAGTTCTTGACAGATCCCTGAGGTGTAGCTGCAGGAGGGCAGGGAGGACTTCGCGTGGCTTGTATCATGCCTGCTCATGCCCTGGGAAGCACAGTAGGACCCCCCCCACCCAGCAGCTCACGGCCGGCCCGGCTGAGGCATGCTCCCTGAGCAGAACTCTCCTCCTTCCCACCACCGAGGCTCTGCCGTGAAGCAGGGGCAGCACAACTGCCCTGGGCCCCGCCACCTTGACTGAGACTGCGTGCCCTGGGACAACCTGTGTTTCCAAAGTGTCTTATTTATAGAGCAAGAACAAGGGCACCTTGTGGCGCTGCCACCCGCCCAGGAGCACGCGTCCCAGCTGCACGGCCGCAGGGAACAAAGGAAATGGTGCAGGGTGCTGTGGACGCCAGCAGAGGCAGATGAGGGATACAGCAGGATAGTGCTGAAGATCAGTTTATTTACTCTACTCCCTCTTCCATAAAACTTGAAAACAACTTCCAGCAAGAGATGGGAAAGCAGTAAGAAGTGGGAGATTTGGCTCTGCAGCTCCCCCCCTACGCACGGGACCAGGCAAAGGTGTTAATGCATTAGTGACGGCTGCTCCGAAAGGCACGCAGCAGTTGGGAGCCCGCGAAGCTCCCCGACGGGAGGCGTGTGAGCCCAGGACACCCCTCTGGGGCCTGGCTGCTGACCCCACGCTTCTCACCGTGCCTCGAGGAAAGCTCGGCCGGTGCTGAACAGGAGAGATTCCAGAGCACGAGCCCTGGAGCCCCGACTGGTCTGCTAACTGCTTCCCTGCAGGGCTGATTCGAGGCAAGAAAACACCCAGGGTTTTAATTTTGAGAGGATGTGGGGGATGAAAGGGATGGGGGGGGGGGGGGAAGGACTGGCTTAGGGTTGTGATGCACCATCAGTGTGACGGTGCGAGGCTGCTGACTGTGCGGTGTCAGGGAGGCAGGAGCTGGGCACGGGGAAGGCTCCTGGCACCGAACGACCTGCAGCCCAGCGGGATGGATGGGCAGAACCGCTCACTCTGGCTGCGGGGTGTAACGCAGGTACTTCTTGCCCGACGGGAGGTCCTTCGTGAAGACTCCTTTGGGAAAGAGCTTCTTGGCTTCCTCGTCAGGTAAGGTGGGCACAACCATGACGCTGTCACCAGGCTGGGGAGCAAATGGGAACCGTGAGAGCAGCAGAGGAGCTGGCAGGCTTGGATGCTGCTTCCCCGTGAGTGCCCCAGGCACATCCCCTGCAGCTCGGCCTGGAGCCGGCAGTGAGGACCCAGTGGGAGCTGCCCCAGGGGTTGTGGGTGATGTCTGCCAGCCCTGCCACCGGGATCCCACAGCCCAGCTCTTCCCCGCCAGCACTCCCACGGGAACAGGGAGGGGAATTTGGGCATCTCCATGACGCAGGCCTTACTCTGCTCTTCCATTCCCCTTGCACAGGCGGCGCTGGCACCCCCTTGGCGTGCCAAGCCCTGGGGAAAGGTGTGCTTCCCTGGGAGGTGGGCTGGGGGGGGGGGAGCTGGCCCCACACCGCTGGGAGCTTGTGCTGCAGGACACAGGAGCCTTCAGAGGCAAGGCTGCCTCCACGCTCTGCTTTGCCCCAGGAAGTGAGGGTGCAGTTTGTTGTACACTCAGCCCACGGACACTGGTGTTGAGGGGTGGAGAGGCACGGTGAAGTGCACCCATACCCTGAGTTACTCGACCTCCAAGGCTTGTGCCTACAGGGCCTTCCTGCCCAGATGGAGTGGGTGCTTGGGACAATGCTCTGGGAACCTGGTCCTGCCTCCTAACACAGGAGGACTTCTCCAGGGCACCCTATAACAGTGGGAGTGTGTCCTCTGGCTCCAGACAGGCAGGATTCCCCACTAACAGCTATCAAAGCCAGCAGCAGGACAGGTCCCGGAGCTGAACAGTTCTGCTGGGCTGAGGAAACACAGGCTAGCTGAAGCAGCCAGACTGTGCTGCTTGTCCTTGCTTTATCTTGGATGCCCAACTGTTTTGGGGAGTTTTAAATAATGCTACTTGAACAGGGATGGCCACAACTAAGCAACTTCAACCAGTAATTTTCCATGAGGACCTGGCTGTGTACAGGCTGGGCAAAGTAGAGCGGTGCCCGTGCTGACCCATCCTGGCTCAAAGACAGGAGAGCAGCCAGCCGGCTGGGGAGCGGTGCCCCATGATTGTTGCTTGGCTGGCTTTGAGTAGACTTTGGCACACTGACACCTGGTAATGCCCTTCATTATCACAGACAACAAGGGCAGGACCTGCCTTGCCCCAAAGCTTAAGTACTGATAGCCAGAAGGGGCCAAGCCCAGTATTTGCTGGCACCAGGGACCATGGGCAGGGGCAGGAAGTTCCTACTGCTGACTCCAGACTGCAACAGCCCTGGGGCCTGGGCTGGGAACTAACTCCCATCCCAAGACCTCATCAGCTTTCCCCACCCTGTGGGTCCCCGGCCAAGGGAGGCTGGTTGGTGTTTCAATGCACGTTCTCAGTGCCCGGCTGTGAGCTTTGCTCCCCTCCTCACCTTCCAGTCCACGGGGGTAGCGACCTTCTTGTACGCCGTCAGCTGCAGCGAGTCCACCACTCTCAGGATCTCATCAAAGTTTCTCCCGGTGGTGGCTGGGTACAGGATGGAGAGTTTCAGCTTCTTATCTGGGCCAAAAACAAACACCTGAACACAGGGAGACAGGGTTAGGGGCTGGGCAGAAGATGTTTGTCCTACTGCCCTGCTGCTCCTCCCTTTCCTGGGAGGTGGCTGCTTGATGGCAGGACAGGGGAGATGCCATGGTAGGGATCTCCTAGAGCAACAAGGGGTGCCCAGGCACAGGGAAAACACAGTGTTTGCTCTGGGAACTCCTGTTTCCATTGCCAGTTTGTTTTACTACTTGAAATGTTTCCTCCCCTTGACCTGCACCCTTCTAATGCAAGCACGGAAGGGGAGAGGGAAAGTCCAGCAGATAGATCAAGCACTTTTGTCCTCTCTGTGTTAGGACAGGCACAACCGGGATGAGCTGGTGGCAACAGCAAGATGGAGATGCTGCCAGCAGGCCAGCGCTGTGCCAGCCCCTTCCTGCAGCACAATCCACGGATCTAGCCCAAGGAAGTCAACCTACCTCCTGAAGGTAGGTGGTCGTGTCCATCCAGGTAAGCTGCCTCCATCTTTAAGCTCAGCCCCACGGGCAGAGGGCAGGATGGCAGGCGATGCCTACTGCTGAGAAGGCTGCTGGGCAGCAGTGCTCCAGGGCCAGGTACTCACCACGCGAGCGGTCAGGGGCATGCCGTCCTTGTCCCGCTCATCTGGGTCCAGCATGCCCAGCTTGATGGCGAGCTCCCGGTTCGCATCAGCAATGATGGGGAAGGGGAGTTTCTCCTCGGGTTGCCCCCCGTTGTACGCATTGATGTCCTGCAGAGACAAAACCATCGGCATGACAGGAGCTTGTGACTTGCTTGGCCCCGTGGTCTCAGGCTGGGACGGCACAGACAAGGGTTCACGGCTTTCCATGAAGTTTCTCTGCTTCCAGAAACCAGGCGACAAACCAGAAACCTGTGTGCCAGGCCAGATCCTGCCTTGTTCTTAGAGGTCAGTTAGGCTGTCTGTGTGTTCACAGCCTGTTGCTCACCTCAGAACGGCCCATTGACCAACTGCTTTCCCAGGCAGTGGGTATGGAGAAAAAGGGAAGCTTTTTTTTTTTTTTTTTAACCACCTTTCCCTGAGAGCAGAGGTGTCCCTCTTCCAAACCTCTCCCAGTAAGTGATCTAGCACTGCTGACAGATGTGTTGGTGTCACACCTGAACTGGACTGTACTCTTAAGGAATAATTTCTCTAGTGGCAGAGCAAATCAGCAACTCTACAGCTAACAAGTGTCAAACACTTCACAGATCTTGTGCGAGGGACCAGCTCCATTCAGCAAGCCACTCCTAGTTTACTTAACTAAAGGCTCCTGAAAACAGAGTGAAAGTCTGAGTGCAGGTGCTGGGACATTGCACTCTCCTTTCTGAACCAAAGCTGGGACAGAAGAGAAAAGCATCCTCTTCCACAGCTGTGCAGGCTCTCCCTTGTGACCACAGTTTATGAGGTTGCTCCCTGTGCTAGTCCGAACTTGATCTGCTTCACAGGGAGACCGTATTTTGAGTGTCTCTGAATCTGGTCTGGACTTGGCCAAAGCACTCAAGTTATCCTTGTAGTTTGTGGTACTACCCGTATGGGTCATGCTGAGCCACAGCAGGGCTGGGAGGAGCCTGCTCAAGGCTGCACAAGCAGAGCAGCTGCCAGCATTAAAGCAAGTTTAATCCAAGGTTTCTGCCCCAGAACAGAGCTGCCTGTTCCTTCCATCCTCTTTATGCTGCAAGGGGACAAAACTGACTCCAGCACTGATGCAAGTCTCCCGTGCACCACTGTGGTACCTTATCAGCTGAGCTGATAATTTATATGTACAAGTCTCTCTGCCTTCACTGGGCTCTGAACGTGGGGGAACAGGCTGGGTCCTGCCCCGAGGGAACTCGGGAAGGGCAGGGCTGGAAATGCTGCCCTTGGCACTGCTGCTCAGAGCACGCCAGAGGCAACAAGAGCAGGCAGGCCCTGCACAACTCCTCAGCCCTCCTAGGGTGACGGTGGTGACATTAGGGGCTGTAACCCTGCCCTGGCTGCTCAGGATGCTGTAAGCAGGTCAAGTGGTGCACATGTGGCAAGATGTTTCCTTTCCAGCTTTTCTCTTCACTTGTTTCTCCCCAGGGCTTTCCGAGTCAGCACTGCACTGCAAAAAGGGGCTGTTTATTTTGGCTGGGTTGTGGTCAGGCCTGCCTTGGAAGGAAGGAATTGGTTCTATTCTCCTGCAGACCTGTCCTGTCAAAGCAGAGTGGGGAAGGAAAGCAGAGCTGCAGAGGCCAGCCCAGGCAAAAGGCATCTGAATGCCCCACAGAATTGCAAGAGGCTGTAGATGAAGGTCAGACAGTGACACACTCCCCCACCTCTTCAGAGCCGGGGCTGGAGGACTGAAGAGAGCTTCTGAGAAGCAATACCCGAGTCCTGTGGACTGTAACTCATTCCAAAATGCACGTATTTTCATGACCTGGGGAACCTCTATACAAAACAGCCTCACAAACCGCACCCTATTTTGCAAAAAGACACTCAAGACTCGCTCACTTCTCTATGAACTATTCTTCTCTCCAGAGTCCAAACTGAAACCAGATATTGTTGGAGTGGTTTATTCACCCCTGACTCACCAAGGCGAAGGCATCAGTGGCCAGAGAACACTGAAACCTCCTCTGATGTGCATGGCACATGCCAGTCAACCCTGCTTAAGGAGCTCATGCGTTCAGCCAACCCTTGGAGAAGCAGAGCACAGGCTGGGGAGGTCAAAGAGTGGGATCGATCCCTGGATGAGCTACAGGCTTGTTCTGAGTCCTGGAGCAAGTCTCTGGGTCTTGGCTAGGGATGGATAAGAACAGCAGTGTCATCTTTGGCTGGGAGAGCAGAGCTGAGCAATGTGATGTGAGAATGACTGGCTATACTCTGGTCCCACCTCGTCCCACCTTTCCAGGCCCCATCTGTCCACTGAAATTTGGCAGCAAAGCAAGCAGAAGTTTCTTTGTTGTTTCATGCAGGATTTCAGTCATCCCTCCTGCCCACTTGATTCCTCACAGGCTGTGCTCTAGATAAAAACAGCTTCATCCTCTCACTACTGCTAGTCGCTTCATCCAAAGAGAAAGCACATGTATGGAAAGATATGTTGCACAGAGAGGTCTGCCCAAACTTTTGCTCACTCCTAGGATTTCTAAGTAAAGATCTAGCGAAACTGCAATTTCTACACTGCAATCTAGTATTTAATGAAGACTGCTTTTGTCCAGACAGGCAGCTTCTGCCAAGGTTTGGTATCTCTGTTAAGCTCTTTGTTTCCCTGTGGCTGAACAGGAGAACCTCTGGGGCACTGTCCCTGGTCTCATTTGCGGCAGGCTCTAACACTTGCCTTCCTAGTTCAGCTCTTTAGTTCTCCATGTTAGCTGAAGTTCTTCTCCGCTTTGTCAAGGACAAAGGAAAAGGATCACGTGTATGGGCAGGTCTAAGAGCAGAGCAATCGCATCCCTGCCCTCCCTTATGTCCTCCACAATGCACGCATGCAGCGTTCACTGCTCCTCCACGCTCCCCGCACCGCTCATGGTGTCGCAGCCTGACCTGTCCTCCCATTCCCAGGCTAAAGGGCCCGTTACTCTGCACTGAAGCAAACCTGCCCAAGTCTGCGGGCAGCTGTGTGCCCCCTCTGCAGCTTTTCTTGTTCCCCTGTAGTCTGTGAGATGGGCAATTTCAAACACAAGCTGCTTGGAAGACTCCAGTCTGCCATGGATTTGTTCTCACCAACTGGATCTCTTGCTCTGTAGGACCTTCACGGTTTTGACAGCTGCTGAGCTGACATTTCCAAACCACTGTGTCTGAGGCCTCTCCCAGCCTGACAGAAAGCTCACCGCAGCTTGGACTGCTGCCCTCTGCCTTACTCTGTGCTTGTTTTGGAAGGTTTTCCAAACGCGCTACTCTACCTCCCATCAGTCAGCGGCAAGAGGCTGTTCTGCAGCTTCTCCTGGTTTTACCCGAGGTTGCGCTGAACAATTCCACAGCATCAGCAGAGTCAGCTCATTGTTCATCTCTTTTCCAGATCACCTGAGTATGCTGAACCCCACGCGTCCCCCCAGACCCTCGAGGGAGCTCACTGCTTCCCTCCCTTGACACAACTCAACGCTTCCTCTTATCTCCCTGCGGAAAAGAGCCTGCCCTTCACAGAGCTGATTTCCATGAAATTTGAGGACCTCATACAAGCCAGCAATATCCTATAATCATTCAAAGGGCTTTAGGTAACCCAGAGATGTGACTCCCTTACAAAAGCACAACCCAAACTTTCTGTTATATTTTATGCAATGTTATCTGCTAATTTGACTGGTTTCAGCCAGTTTGACCAGCACAGAAATCTCATTTACTGGTGTGGGATTTGTATGCTGTTTTTCCCAGGCCCTTCTGAGGCTTGGTGGGACATCGGCCATGCACCACTCAGGTACGAAGGTCAGTTTAAGCAATAAGGCAATTAGGTAATTTCCAAAGCCGGTCAGTCATGAAACAATAGTTGAGTGTAGAAATTTCTCAGCTTTACAACCTCTTACTGCGTGCATGTCCCGCCCTTGGAAAATGCGTGAGAACGTTCCCAATTTTAAGAGCAAAGAAAGAGGCAGGTAATTCACCCAGGGATTTTTACACTCTGGCCATATCTGTCTGAAATGCTTATTTTACACTTGCTACCACCGATGAGTCCAGGTCTTACTCCCTGGCAGCACACCATTGCTGAGGCTGCGTCTGAAGCTCTTCATTAGTTCCTTTTATGTTCATTCAGCAAGCTATTTCGTTCCCGTTCTTTTTTTATACTCCCTTGTGATGGTTTTACATTGAGCATTCTCCTATTTGTGGTTTTATGTTTAACATGCTCCTGCTTGTTCTCTGTTTTCTCTTCCCTGCTTGTGCATGAATCGCACCCTTTGAAGACTGCCTGTTCACTTCTGATGCCTCCTTTCCTGTTCTATTACAGAACTTTCTGAGGGTCTGTGCACAGATTGCCTTCCTCTGAGCTTTTGGTACCACCTTCACATACATTTTACCCGTTCAGGTACTAGCAGAAGAGCAGTAATACTGTTTTCCTCCTGTTTCAAAATGTCAGTGCATAGAGCGCCCTGGACTTTGTGGAGTGCTCCATGAAGATGGAGCAGACCTTCCTATTCCCGCTCTGAATTTTAGCACCTCCTATCCTACATGCTTCGGGATCCGAGACGTGTCGTTCCAAGCCTGTACTCTGTTCTGTGTGGGTTTTCCCTCTGGTCTTCAGAGCAAGGCAGCAGTACAAGCCCCCCCTCGCGCCTCCCCACACCCCGCACCTTGCTCCAGCAGAGGTGGTCTTGGACGCTGTCAATGGAGAGGGCGATCATCTTCACGTTGCGCTTGCTGAACTCGGACGCCAGCTTCGCCGCCCGGCCGAGCTCCGTGGTGCAAACGGGCGTGAAGTCCCGCGGGTGGGAGAAGAGGATGCCCCATCTGAAAGAAGAGAGCCGGAGGTGGCGTTAGGGCGAGATGTCGTTCTGGGTTTGTAGTGCAGACAAAAAGCTGTACAGATTGCACTGCACAGAGGCTAGTGAGGGAACAGCTCGTCTCTTTGCTAAGCAGAAATCTTGTTCCGGGAACAATTCTTTCCCTATCGCTAGAAGCCTTCACGAGGCAAGCCCCGTGCATCGTGCTCTGCGAAACTCCCTGTGCCTCACTCCCCCTCTCCCTCCAGGATCCCACACAGGATGCTGGAATAGTCCACTGTTCTTGGCGTGGAGGTAGACACCATGCCGCGTGAGGAAGTTTGGGGGAGCCACATGTACACTCTGTGCCCCAGAGACCACACGTGTGAGAGGACAGATGCCAACCTGCCAGCCACGTTACTGCAGAGATCATTACTGATTTACAAGGCTACTCTCACTGCCCTGTACACCCCACCAACCACTCTGAGGAGAAACACCCACATGTATCACGCAGCTTAGAATAATGGAATAGGACCAAACGTTAACCCAACCGTTGCCATGAGCTGCCCAACACACTTAATTAAAAAATAAGAATTAATCAACTAACGGGGAAGGCCAGAAGTTAACAACACATTACAGCTACAGTTACAATACTGCCACCTCGCCTTTGCCCACCACTTCCCACCAGTGGATATTGCAGTCTTTAGAGCAGGCCAATACTAGTCACCCCACTTTACAGGTAAAGCAACCGGCTCACTGAGAAAGGCAGCAATGCAGCCCAGCAGTGAGATGGGTTTATGGCAAAACTACTCCCAGCTCTCAGGAGTTTCCAGAGGCTAACACAAAGCCACCTCCAGCACTTCGAATTCCCTGCCAGGGACTTGTCTCACAATTTCTCAGCTCAGCACTCACAGGGCTTACTGCCCTGCTCTTCACCTGGCCCCAGTGCTCAGCCACAGCGGCTAGGGAAGGTCCTGTCTCAGAGATTTGGGAACGGATCTGGAGGGATCAAGTGGGGCAGCCTGCAGCTCTGCCATGCTAGCCACGAAATTATGGGGCAGCTACTCAGCCACTGGTACAGTAAGTACGCTACTTGAGTAAAAAGGCAGCAAACAACCGAGTCGAAGCTGGCCAAGAAAGCTGCCCTGTTGGTGGGCCAGGCTGGAACAGCCAGTTTTAAGAAGCCCTGCAGCTTATTTCCTCACTAAGCGGGTTCTTTTTGCCCAGGCTCACACCGCGGCCAGAAGCGGGCTCAAACGCCGATTCAAGCCTGCCAAGCGCTGCCAGTCCCGAAGGTGCCGCGCCAGCACCCTCCCGCTTGTGCCAGCAACGGAGCAACAGGCTCTGTGGGAAACGGTGCCTGAAGGTTCCCAGGCCGGGCTCAAGCAGGACCAAGAGCCCTTCGCCACCGCTCCGCCACGCACCTCCGTGTGCCCGGGCGCGCTCGCAAGGGACGTACGTGCCACAGGAGCCGGGCTCTGCCCTTCCCTGGGCTCAGAGCGCCCCTTCCCTCTCCTCCGGGGCTCTGCCCGCCTGCGGCCCGCAGCAGGGCCCGGGGCTGCAGCTCAGCCCCCTCAGAGGGGCCCGTGCGCCCGGGAAGCTCGCAGCACCCGCCTGCCCGGCGGCTCCATCCATCCCCCCCCCACCCCCCCCCCCCCCCGGCGGACTCACGAGTCTCCCAGGAAATCGTGGAAGCGGATGCGGCCCTGCGTGGTGTCCGCCTCGAAGTTGGGCGCCTCGTCTCCCAGCAGCAGCCCCGGCATGGCGGCGGCGGCGGCAACGGCGGCAACGGCAGCTCCTCCGCGGGCTCCCGGCTGCGCATGCGCGGAGCCACTCCGCCCCCTCTCCTCCGGCGGCTGCCGGTCGCCGCTGCGCATGAGCGGAGCCACCGCGGCCGCGCCCCCCCCCCCCCGGGACGGCGGGCCGCCGCGCTTTACGGCTGGCTTCGCGGCTTTTCGCTTTGCGGCGCGGCGGGGAGGGCGGCGGGGCTGCAGCCCCTCGCTCGGGGCGGCCCCGGGGATGGCGACCTACGTGAGCGAGCTGGAGGCGGCTAAAAAGAGCCTGAGCGAGGCGCTGGGCGAGAATGTGAAGCAGTGAGTGCGGCGGGGGAGGGCCGAGCTTGAGGGAGGGGAGTGCGGGCTGGGCTCGGGTGCTGCGCGGCCCGTTCGGCCGCTCCGGGCCTGCGCGGGACCCTCAGCCCGGCCCCTTCGCGCTGGTGCGGGGGAAAGCAGTGTTTTTTTCTAAACAACGCTTCTCGTTTGGTGTCTGCACATTTCCCTGTTCTCCCCTAGGTACTGGGCCAACTTGAAGCTCTGGTTCAAGCAGAAGATCAGTAAGGAGGAGTTTGACTTGGAAGCGCGCAGGCTCCTCACGCAGGACAATGGTAAAGAGCCGCCTTGTATCTGTTTTGCTGCCAGCTCTGAGGCTGCCTTGCCCCCGCCAGGCCCGGGGGGGAGCTCCCCGCTGCTGCACGTCGCTTCCCGAGTGGGGAGATTGCTCTGAGGGAAGTAAGAACGGCCAGGGTTCTGGTAGCTAGAGAGCTGAAAAGGTGGGAGGTGACCTGGCCTGCACAGGGAAGACCAGTCGTGGCCCTGGCACTGACAGCCAATTTGGCCTCGTGTAAATACAGTAGAAAGGTAAAATATATTGTCCTGGCAACAAAAAAAGCCATTTTAAAATGTCACTGTAGAGACCCAGTCCTTTCCTTACTGTACTCTCCCTATGATTGGGGCAGAAGGGCTGTGGTGGCTGAAGCAGAAGAGGGAACCCCCAAATTCATCTAGGTGATTTTGCAGCTGGCAGATCCCCTTCCTGGCCTTTGGGGGTGGCAGCTTGGAGCCTGGAAGGGTGAGATTCCTTCCTCCTCACCCATGTGAGGGCCCACAGGCATTAGTGAGCCCTGCTGAGAGCTTCCTGGGGGCTCTGGACCTCCCCCTTCCTGATCCCTGTGGGGAAGGGCAGGGAGTCTGTTGGTGCTGGGGTTCAAAGTCCAGAAAGGATCCCGGATCCTTCTGACCCTGCCTGTGAAGTCTGTCTTCGCTCCTTCTAACACATAATTGCCCACTCCGTGTTCCAGTAGCCTGAAGTTGCATTTTATCTAGAACCTATTTGACTTAACTTCACCTTCCTGGGGCTGGCTCTTAAGGGGCCTTTTCTAGAAAAACCAAAAGCCCTGCTACCAGCGTGGCAGGGGGCACAGCTGAGCCTCCTCTGGCTAATTACACCAGATGTTTTGTTTCATGTTGTTTGCTGGGGGGCTGGGTTGGTGTGTGTCTGTGTTGTGGCTTAAACCCAGCCAGCAATTGAGCACCATGTGGCTGCTCGCTCCTCTTCCCTCCCACTGGGATGGGGGAGGAGAATCAAAAAAAAAGAAAAGTAAAATTAATGGGTTGAGATAAGAACAGTTTAATAACTAAAATAGAATACAATATAATTTAAAAAAAATAGTAATTGTAATGAAAAGGAATATAACAGAGAGAAATAAAACACAAGTGATTCACAGTGCAATTGCTCACCACCTGCTGACTGATGCCTGAGCAACGATCTGCCCCTCCTAGCCCACTCCACCCAGTTTATACACATGATGTCCTGTGATATGGAATATCCCTTTGGCTAGTTCTGGTCAGCTGTCCTGGCCGTGTTCCCTCCCAGCTGCTTGTGCACCTGCTCGCTGGCAGAGCATGGGAAACTGAAACATCCTTAACTTAGGGTAAGCACTACTTAGCAACAACTAAAACATTGTTGTGTTATCAACATTATTCTCGCACTAAATCCAAAATGCAGCACTGTACCAGTTACTAGGGGGAAAATTAACTGTCCCAGCCAAAGCCAGGACAGGGTGACACACTGAGAGGTGACCTTACTTGTTTCTACGCCATGTGTAGTATCCTTTCTGTTGGCATGGTAGTAGCGGATTCTGGGTCTGATAGAACTTAAAGTTGTGCCTGTGTAGCTAAGCATGTGGGGAAAACACGACTGTGGAAAGGCACAGTGAGCTACTTTAAGGTCGCTGTGGGGGATGTTGCTAATAGCTCTCTGTCTTTACACAGTCCACTCTCACAACGATTTCCTCCTGGCTATTCTTACCCGATGCCAGATCTTGGTTTCTGCACCAGGTAAGTCCTGAGAAGCCTCATTAAAAACAAAAGGGTAGTAACACTTCGCCACATGTGCGTTTGGTGGGTTTTATACAGAGCACTATCATTTTCTGACCCTTAATATTCATATTTTTTGCCACACAGGGAAAAAGGTAGCAAAGTAGTGATCCAGCTGATTTCAGTAGTGGTTCTTTTATAAATAAGCTGTGTATGCTTGAGCTAACAGTGGATTGCTGTGTGCTGTAAGATGGTTTGATTTCTGGATTGGTGTGTGCTGTAGCTGATGTGTAAAGGGAGATGCTGCTTTGTCTTTGATCTGCTTTGCTTGCGCTTCCTCTCTCTTCTGAACTTGGTGATACTCCTTGTTCTTCTCTCTGCTAGGGATGTCATTTTGGGGAGCTGGATGTTCCTGACTGATCTTGAAATCTAGTAGCTATCTGATCGAAAAATGCTTACTGAGAATGCTTACAGTGAGTCTCAGTTGAGCTATGGCCAATTAACTCAGGCTTCTGCAGACAGTTAACCTTTTAACTTTGTAAGCATGCAGAATTGCTGTCATCAGGGTTGCAAGGTATATTTTGTTTGGTCTTTGGAAGAACTCAATCCAGAGATCTGATAGGAAGGACAGCTGAGCTGCACTTCAAGATATGAAACTGCTGTGTATCAAGGGAGAGAAAATCAGCTCTGATGGGCCGAGACCTGAGAGATGAGTTCTTTGAGATAAGAGAATACTTGTTATTAGGGTACTTGATGTAGCTAGAGGAAGGAAAAGATGCAAAACTTCTGGTTACCCACAGCTTTTTGTGATAGCTGGTCCTTAATTATACCAGCTGTGCTAATGAAATGCTCACCTCCCCCACCTCCTAACTTGCTTTGTTTGCTCCTGAAGTTTAGGAACACCTTTTTCATCCCAGACTTGGCCTCTTTAGTGGTCTGCACTCATGTAATTCAGAAGATTTATGTCTAAATCTTGCTGCTCCTTGACTTTATCTTAGAGTACTTACAGCTAGATTATAAAAAGAAGGCATGAGAACAGTGATTCCCCTGTGAGTACTACCTGAAGTAGCTGAGTCTAAATTAGGAGTGGGAGGGAGGGAGTGCCTGCGTTCTCTGAGCTCAGCGCTGAGCTGGTGCTGGTGTTGGAGTAGAGATCATGGCTTGGAGGTCTTGCTTCTGAGTGGCAGTAGTCAGGTTAGAGCCCATTGCCCTGTGACTGAAGCTGGGGTTGTTTATTCCTGTGTGCACCACTCTGTGCTTAACTGTGTTGAACTTCCTTTGTCTCTTTATCCAGTCACTTATTCTCGTGCAGCTCTTCTGTAGCCGTCCAGACAGGCTTCATCCTCCCTGCCTTGAACAGCTCAGATCTGTCGGCAAACTCTACCAGCTCTCCAGTACCCCCTTTTCAAGGCTGTCTAGGAATGTGTTAAAATTACGAGCCCTGGCACAAAGCAGTGTGGTGCTCCACAGGTGCCTTCCATATACTCATTATTTCCTGCCTGACCTTTTTTAATGTCAAGTCCTTGCAAGGACTTTTCCTCTTGTCTCATTGAAGTTTACTCTCTTTAAGAGCCCTTGAAGAACCCTTCTTTATAGTGCTCCAGCAGATCAGTGACAGCATGTAACGGAGTGCTAGCTGACCAGCTGGTTGCCTCCAGTGCTTTTAGTCAGGCTTTTGTTGGCTCTCTGTCCACAGATCTGCAAAAGCCAGCTTGAAAAAAATGAGTTTAGTCACGTGTGTATTCTTAAAGACATGGTTTAGTGCTCTCTAGTCAACTGTACAAACTGCTAGTCCCTGCTAGAGTCTGTTTTGCTGCTCTTGGATCACTGCAGTCTCCCAACGATTTTGAAGCTAATCTGTATTGAGATATCTCTTTCTGGGCCACTCTGGTAGCTCTATTACACACACGTTTTACTTGCCAGTTTGCTCTGTGTGGTGTAGCGGATTGTACTACATGCAAGCCCAGGAAAGTGCAGTATGAGTGGAATACTAGATGTCGATGTCTAGATTTCTTTTTCTCCCCCTAGATGCCAGTCTGACACCTGCTTGATTTTTGTTTGTTTTTATTTTTCTCTTGCCCCCCCCCCCCCCCCCGGCCCCATGTAAGAATGGAAAGCTAACAAGCTTTTGTCTCTACCACTGTCTTTTGGGTAGAAGGTGTTTACTTCATGATTCGTGGAAACGAGCAACTTTAAAGAAGTGTGCTCTGTGCACTTGGCACGCCATCACAAGGGTTACTGATGCTTGTACTTTCCACCTTCGTGTGGAGACCAGGGGGAAAGAACTATCTTTAAAATGCTATTTTGTATTACAGTAAAAATCGTGTGGTCAGTGTTAAAGTGTATTTGATATTGTGGCATTTAGGATAGGAAACCTTGGGGAGGGTATTTTTAAGGAGTGATTATAATGTATGTTGAACCATGCAAACAAACCCATCTGATCCAAATTTTGCTGCCTCTGGTAGTAGTGGTTCCACCTGGGTTCATAGGGGAACACAGGTGAATGTGACCCTTTGAGAGAACGCTTTCCATTTCCCCTCTTGTCTGCTTAGGCTGTTGGCCATGCAGACTTCAAGTCCTGGTTCAAAAGCCTGTGTGGCCCAGGATGTTTGGGACTAGGTGGTGGAGAGGGAGGGAAGTTCCTATCTAATCTGATCTGAAGAACGACCAGTTGCTTTAATTCCTGCTGAGCTCCCACTGAGGGGCATAGCAGCATCCTGAGCAATCCTAAATCTGACTTTTCTACCCCTTTTAAAAATGG